AGAGAGAGAGAGAGAGAGAGAGAGAGAGAGAGAGAGAGAGAGAGAGAGAGACGCAGAGGGCACTGTTTCGCGATGAACCTGCACCCAGAGGCTTTCTCCGGCCGTCCCGACCTTCAAGCAACATTTTTCACTTCTCACTCGTGCTAAGAAACGAACGGGAATGATGACTTAACAGATTTTTAAATGGCCGTAAGTAGCTATGGGGTGGACAGAGCGCCTCGGCTTTGGCTTAGACGGTGTCTTATTGGTTTAAACTCGGCATTTGCATTCAGTCCATTCGTCCCACTGCCAGGCAGGCCGTCGCCCTGTCTCTCCCGCACCCGCGGGGCGTTGCGCAGGGGTGCGAGAGAGACAGAGGCCAATGACGCATCCGGTCTGCCGCCGCGGTCGGCCCGATTCAATGTCGCGAAACAAGTGCGGGCCGCGCGGACCGTGAAAACGCCGCGGCCGAACCGAACCAGCCGCCTGCCGTCTCCCCGTCTCTGTCGCTCGCGAGGCTGGGGCGAGGGCGAGGCAGAGGGTGGCGGTCGGCGGTGTCGTCCCGGACGCAGCCCGGCGTCACGCCGCCCCCGGCCGCCCTCGCGAGGCGTGCCGAACAGAGGCCATCCGTCGCGGTCGCTTAGCTCGCTGATGTGACTATCGCGATACGGTCCCCCACCCCCTCCGTCTCCTTGCGGGGAAAAGCGCGATAAAATGAACCTGTGTCGGTGTTCGAACCCGGGCCCCGGCCGACAGCAGTCATTATAGCGTGGCACACGCCGAGCGGGAACGCGCCGCCTCCCCCACCGCATCAGACGTCTGTTTATGCAAATTCGGCGCTGGAGGGGAGGGGAGGGGGAGGGGGTCGTCCGCGGACCAGAGGGCAGGGCGGCCTATTTATGGGGAGGGGAGGGGAGGCGCGTGTTTTCAGGTGGGCTTGCAATAAACCCCCGAATTATGGGCGTAATGCGCTAGCGAAGCTTGTCGACATTATCACAGAATATTGTGCCACACACCGCCCCGTCCGGGCCGCGACGCGACGCCGCGAGTGCCGCGAGGGGGAACTTGAGACTCATCAAGGATTCTTCCGCCGCGATCCAAGTCGTTGCAGCAGCGTGTTGTTTTTCGGAGAGTTGTGCGCGTTCAGCATGGCCCCTGCGAACCGCAGCATAGGCAAACCAGACACGGCTACGCAGCGGGTTGCCTATGCTAGTGTCGCAGGCGCCGTCCACAGCGTCCCTGTTGTTGTTTTTGTTTTTCTGCGCGAACATGCGGAAGCCAGCTATACGTGCTGAGCATACCGCACACCCGTTTGCCACCCTTTCCTCCGTTTCACAAGTTTTATTCTGTTTTTCATTTATCCCTTTTTTTAAGTATTTGTACGCAAAACGCGGTGGCATGCATGAGGGGAAAAAAGGATCGCGGCTTTTGCATGCGTGATGGATGTTCTGCGGGGGCTTTCGATTGGAATGGAATGGCCTGGCTCGTTGAGAGAATCGGATTAGTTTGGGCGAGAGGTGTGGTTTCGTTAGGTTAGGTTCGGCGGGCGGGAAAAGCGCGGGAAAAAATGGCGGGCAAAGAGAAACCGGAAACAAAGGCCGTGGTTGTGCAGGTGGCTGCGGGCGGCTGCCGGTGGCTGCAACAAGGAGAGGAGATGCAATGCCAGCGAGACGGAGGGATAAAACAAGGACAACGGGAAAAAAGGAAGAAGAAGAAAAAAGGCGCGGTGCTGGCCAACTTGGCACAGGCGGACGATAAAAACAGAATGAAAAACGTAAAAAAGGGAGGCTAAAAACTGGAAAACAAGAACAACAACATTGTAGCCAAACGGGAGTAAACGGCCCCCCTCGCCGGGGGGATGGACGTGGCGCAATACCAGCGCACGGAGGTGCTTGACGTGGAGGGCTTTGCATAACCCGTTACTCCCTACGGCACCTAACTGGCAGTGTAGGGGATCGAGAGAGTGACACTCTTTTTTCTGTATTTCTTTTTTTAACGCATAGTTTCACTTTTTGGGTTATGAGGCCAGGGGTCCACGGTCCTTCCGTGAGAGGAGATGCTCTGACTTTGAGAAGGTTTTTCATGGAGTTGGCTGGAACACTGCGAAAAAAAGGGTCTGTTTGCCTGGTTTTATCGCTCTCGGCAGCAGCAGAGCAGCAGGCTGTACTGCTGGCTGTTTGCGAGACAAGCTCGTGCTGCAAAGCGGGGCGTGGCGGAGCGGGGGTGGGGGTGGCATGGCTCCTACTCTGTTTGCTCTGGCACTGCCATGAGCCTGACGGCCTGGCTGTGCCTCAAGCAACACACACTCGCACACGACGCGCACTCGACACGAGGTAACGCTACCCACCCTGCAACGATACCGATTTGAGGAGCAATCATCGGAGCCCCGTCGCATCACTCGGCAGCACACAAACACACGCCGTGGCTGGCTTTGTTGGCTGTGCTGGCTGTTCGATGGCGCGCGCCCCAGTTGGCAACAATGCCGCGTATGGAGATGAGCTCGCCGCCGACAGGTTGGTACTCCTTGTCACGCGGATCGCGCACATTTCCGGCCGGAGAGTGGAAACCTGTTGGCAGCACTGTCGCGTTCCGATCGAGGCGACGGACAGGCTGTCCGGGGGCTGTCTGTCCGCGACGGGACAGGCTGGGACAGGCGCCCACGCAAGTGTCTCGCAAACAGGCGATCCCGGCAGGCCGGCCTCATCAGTCAAATGCCCCAAACTTGGCAACGATTTGACTCATTTCCGCACGAATACCGAAACCACTTCAGTATTTCCCAAGCAATTGGGCTTCTTTTAATTTTTTCACACCTTCGTAGATTATGGCGGGTGCGCAGGCGTGTGTTGTCCACACTGTACACACGCCCGCCTCCGCTGAGGCTGTTGGGCTGTTCCGGGCTGTTCGCAGGTGACCGCAGAATGGATTTCCTATTCGAAAAGTTGGCCGCCGGCGTGCTATGGGCCCGCGCACAAATTCGTATCGAAACAGCGCACACTCACACACGTGCGTGCACGCCCACACACACTCGGCACACCGCATATCGGCCCCTCGGCTATGGGGTGCGGCCGGTGCGGGGCGCCCTTGGCATTTTTACCCTCCGCCGTACCGCACATGAAATTGGCGTCGATCCGTACGACACTTCATCCCCCGCCATTGCCACCCCCTCCTCCGTGGACAGACATAACCCCGCACACACACACACACACACACACTCACACACAGGCACACACCGTTCCGGAAAACTCTTAACCCCAAGAGCACGCAGAGTACCATATATCAGCCCCCTCCACGCGCCCTCCCGCTCAAACATCTCTCTCCCTCTCTCTCTTTTATTTCCCTCCCGGCCGGTTTTTGGTCTACTTCTCTCCCCCTCTCGCTCTCGCTCTCTCTGCGTTCGGCCTCTGGGTGCCCCTCCCCCTGTCTGGCCCCTTCCCCCGCCCCACACTGGCATTTCTCGCCCGCTATATGTACGGCGTGTTTTCCCGCTTGCTTTTATGTTGGCAATGTTTCGGCGGCACGCCGGTCTGCTCTGACGGATCGCGAATTGATTCCCCGTAAAAGCTTCAAGCCCCCCCCCCTTTATCCCCCGTGGTTTTGGTCGGCTGCACCGCAAGGCCCATGGCACGCTGGGCAAACAGGCAAGCAGGCAACCAGACTCCCAGGCAAGCAGGCAATGGGTGGGCGGTCGCATTACTTGCAGGTGGGTGCCGCCACGCCGCCACCGCCGGGCGGGAGTTTCCAAGTGAGGGCGGCGGAGTGGCCGGTCGACGCGGTGAACGCAGAACGTAGTGCGAGGGACACGCCCCCTACACTGTGATGACCAAAAGACCAAAGTAGGCCCGTTTTACGTCCAAGTTTGACGCCATTTCTTGACGTTTTTTCGAACCGTGGCGCCATACCACGCGACTCTGCCCGCTCCGCCCGCTCTGCCGCACGATGGCCGTCCAAAGCCTTGCCGAGGAGCAGGGACGGCTGCCGCTGCGCCCCCACCCTGCCTGCCGCCGCTCCCCCGCCCGCCCCGCCCCAGGGCCGCCCTCTCACCAGCCGGGTCGCCACGCTCGCCACCCGCCGCCGCCCCGCCGGCGGGGTGGCGCCCTTTCGGCCCTTCCTTTCGGCCCTGTCGGCCCTCCGTCCTTTCGGCGTTCTTGGCGGAAAAGGGGCGCCATGCCCGTGCAGCAGCGGCGGGTCTTGGCGTCCCGACGTTCAGACGGTCCTACCAGGTCCTACCCGAGGCCGCGCGGCTCCACGGCGAGAGCGCCAGCCGCGACTGCTGAGCCATGGCTGTGCCATGGCTGTGCCCGGCCGTTTTATCTCCGATTCACTAGCGATGGTTGCCCTGGATACGGTCCTTTTTAAACGCGTGGGTAGCTTCAGTGTGAGCGTGTGTGCCGCCTGCCCGATGCCGCCAGCCGGCCCAGCCCAATGCCCGAACAACCCCGCATCGGCGATACTCCACGTCCGGTCCCCGTGGCGGCCTGGCGGCGTGGCGGCGATACCCCGAGCGCGGCGCTGCAGCATTCCCCGCGGTGAGCGCCGCGCCATCTCGCGGAGGCGCGGCCAACTGCCATGAGCCTGGCTCCCTGCCTCTCGATTCGGTCCTTTTATTTCGTCTGCTTGCAATTTGATCCAAACGAAACCATCAGTACAGTTCATTCGTTTCGTGTTTGGAGGTGCTGTCGCTGGCAGAGTACTCGCTGTACGATGAATGGTGACTGGCGGGGGACCGTTCCAATCTAATGAACGATAACACTGACATGAGGCAGCTTATGGCCCCTGCCTAGCGAGAGGAACAAGTGTCACACGTCCATGTGTTGCAGTGGCATGCGAGCGATGCACGCATGTCACATGATATCAACCCAGCCCTCTCCCTTCCCGCTCCTTGCTCCTGTCCTTGTCTCTCTCTTCCTGCCTCGGCCGCGGCCGCGTTTGTCTCTCTCCCGCCTTCCATTCACCGCTCACACACACACGCACACGCGCGCGCGCAGACGCAGACTGATATGCGCCGCCGAACGAAGCCCGAAGCCGAACCACCGAAGCTGAGAGAAAGAGTTGGAGAGAGAGCAGTTGGCCTCGGTTGACATAACAAGGAGATTCGAACCACAGTGATTCAACAATATGGCAAGTTACAAAGCTAGGTGCGTATGGTTGTGGTTGAGGGGGCGGTCCATGTAATGCAGTGTTATTTACTTGCATGACGTGCTGTGTGTGTGTCTTATTTCAGGTTAAAAGAGTTTGACGACGCTCTCGGCGCCAATCAGATCGACTTGCGAAAATTAAAGGAACTTTGCTTTCATGGTGAGCATATTCACTGTTTTAATAATTATGTAAAATTTTAATAATTGTACATTATGGACATGATTTATCACATATTTACTCTGCAACTGATGACGGACACTCTTATGTTCTATTTATTCTGAATTGTGCTTTGATTACAGGTATTCCTGATGAACAAGGAGCACGATCTCTCTGCTGGAAACTTCTTCTGAACTATCTTCCTCCTGATCGATCAACATGGAGTCAAACCCTAACCCAGAAGCGTGAACTATATAAACAGTTCATTGGTAACAACCACAATAGTTTTTCTACTTCTTAAACTTTAAATTGGCCTTCCATTTACGTAATTTATTTACAGAGGAAATGGTAATACCCCCTGGCGAGGTTCAAGATGAAGAAGAAACGAGTAGAACCGATGTGACGAGTGCAGATCACCCTCTCAGCTGCAATCCCGACAGCCAGTGGCAGGCATTTTTTAGGGACAATGAAGTCTTATTACAGATTGATAAAGACGTTAGGTATGTTTATGCTTCAAATTTGTCCAAACAGAACCACTATCTTAGTTTTTAAGTTCGAAGCCTGTATGGTGTTCATTTCAATTCTTTTACAGGCGGCTTTGCCCTGATATCTCTTTTTTTCAACAAGCAACGGAAGCTCCTTGTGATAAAGTTGTTAACAGTCGAGGATTGCGACGTCTTCACCGCAGAGTTCAGCACACTGTCCTGAGTTCAGCAAATGTTGAGCGCCGGGGACTTGGTGTAACTAAGGTTGGTTTTAACATAGTTAGTTATTGACCCAAATCATGTCAATTTTTATGGGTATTTTCTTGTCTTTTCTTTTGCTTGGTCTTATCATCTCTGATACAAGTAAACTTCACTAAAAATCTTTGATCCACTCTGAATGACTTATTTCTATTTCTTTCTTGCATTCTGATGCTAGTAGCAGGTAATCTCTCATTCAATCTTTGGAAATTTGAACAATTTTATAATTGACACTTGAAATGTGATTTGACCTCTCAAATCTTTAATATTGTTTTTCAGATAGCTCTAACTGTGAGAAAAGCTCAGGAAGACTATGCTCCAATGGCAGAAGGCAGTGAAGCTCACTGGGAAGTTGTGGAACGAATTCTTTTTCTGTATGCAAAGCTGAATCCTGGTCAGGGATATGTTCAGGGAATGAATGAAATTGTGGGTCCCATTTACTATTGCTTCGCTTCAAACCCAGATGCAGATTGGAGAAGTAAGTTCGCATTTTCAACTAAACAGATAAATTAATGCTAGAGTTTCAAGAAAACTTCGCTTTTTGTTTCAACAGAACATGCGGAAGCTGATTGCTTTTTCTGTTTCACTAATTTGATGTCTGAAATCCGAGACTTCTTTATCAAAAGTCTGGATGAAGCAGAGTGTGGTATCAATAATATGATGTGCAAATTAAGTGATCAACTTCGTTCTTGCGACCAACCAGTCTACTTAAGGTTGCAGCAACAAGAACTTAGACCACAGTATTACAGCTTCAGGTAATTCTCTTAATATCATTTGTGCAGCTATAAAAAATTAGGAAAACCCTTTTGCTGTTTTCATTACTGCTCTTCCTTGTATAAATTTCACAATTTTATGTTGCAGATGGCTTACTCTGATGCTTTCCCAGGAATTCCCACTTCCCGATGTGCTCCGCATCTGGGACTCTCTGTTTGCTGATGAGAATCGATTTTCTTTCCTAATTCATATTTGCTGTGGAATGATTGTGTTAGTAACTTTGTTATTCTACTTTTTGATTACCTTTTCTCAAAGAGTCTGCTGCTTAAATTAAGATTTTCTCATGCAAACACAACTTTTGTTTTTACAGGCTGTTACGGGATGACCTTTTGAGTGGAGACTTTCCAGCCAATGTGAAATTGCTACAAGTTAGTAATTTTAAATAAGTTAGCTTTTTATTTATAACTTTAAGAAAAAGAATGTTTGAGTCCAATTTAACTAATCTTTGTTTCTGTATTTAATTCAGAATTTTCCACCGATGGACATTGCTTTAGTTCTGAGAAAAGCTGCAAAGTTGTCGGGGAGACGGTAAGTTTCTTAATATTTTGAGTCATAGACTTTGAACGATGAAACGTAAAATTAAAGTGCTTTGTTTCTTTTTCTTTTCCAGAAGCAGCGACTGTCCTTGAAGGTTTTCCTCCAAGACATATGTGCCTTATACATACCTGTGATTTATTCTGTGCACAAGGATTTTACATCTTATTTTTGTTTGTTTTTTGTCTCTCTATTATCTGAGTATTATGTTCATGGTTTACTCGAAGGTATTGTTAGTATATTAATTGGTTTCATGAGAAACTGGAAGTACTTGTAATATTTGTTACACATTCTCATGCCAAGAGACTTGCTGTTAAGTTTATAAAAATAATCAGAAAGACTGCTCATTCTTGTTAAGTATGTACTAGTTGAATTATGTTGTTAAGTACAAAAGTGCAATCACAAAATCTGTGCAGGTATTGGATTCTTAAGTACCAAAGTTCATCACAAACTCTGTACAGGTATTGAATTTCTTTGATTTGTTGGTTTCAATTTCCACTCAAAGTTGATGATGTTCTTGTAACTAATTTTTGCAAGGTGTTCCATGTTGCTAGGAGTTGACTAGTAGTTTCTTCTCTGATATGTGATAGAACATTGTGTTATAAATTCAAGAGCAATAAATATATTTTTATTCGTTTTTTGTTTTCTTTTTTTCTAAATCCCTAGACCTCTGAACGATTTTAAGCTCATGAATGTGACAGTGGCGCCGCGTGGGTAGGCAGCCCATCGCTCTTGCCTGCCTCATGCTTGCCAACCTCCCAGGGGGAAGATTCAAAGATTTTGACGTTGCGATCCGTCAGCTTCGTCGTCGACCCTTGTGCGCGGGGTATGGATCAGAGAGACTAGTGGGGTCTAGCGGCGACCGTCAGGCGCATCCACTATAGACTAGGCACAAGACATCCTGCCGCCCAATTGAGGGATGGGGAGCCTCGGGACCGCGCTCGCGCCTCGCGGCTAGCCCGCGACCAGCCCGCGACGATAGTGACCCTCGCGGCCACGGCCCATCTGACGGCGTGGCGCGGCGTGGCGCGGCGTGGCGTGGCGTGGCCCCGCCAAGGCAGCCAAGGCTGGCCGCGATGAGAGATGAGTTTGGTCCAGTGACTGATCGCGAGAGCCGAGAGGCGTTGCTCTTCCTGCCGGGTGCACGACACTAGGTCGTTCGCGTCTTGGAACGGTATCGCCTCGCGGCAGTCCGTCGGTCCATCCCCCAACAGCGAGCGTCTCTTCGTCATCCCCTCCGCGCCACGTCCACCATGACCACCGCCACCGCACGAGAACTGCCCCCCGGCAACAAGTAGGGGTTGCGCTTTCCCCTCGCAGGGGCTGCGGGCTGAGGCTCGCCCTCCCCACCCATCCCCGCACCGCGACAGACTTTTCATTTCGGTGAGTGTGGGTAGAGTGGAGGGAGAAAATCCAAGTGGCCAGGGGGTTGAAAAGTTTAAAAAATGTACTCAAAAATTTCTCGAGATATATGATAGTTTCAGTCATTTTCTGAATGAACTAAGGGTTTATGAATTTGAAGCACCGTTTTGATGAAACGGGTTGTCTGAACAATTAAGCAGGTGACCCACCGCGTCAACGAGGTACCGAGTCGCGCGGCTATTCCGGGCCGAGGTCGAAATCGCGAAATCGGCGACCGTGATTGCTGATTTCGGGGACGCAAGGCCGACTTCTTGCACAACAAATGCGACAGAGGGCGAGGTCATATTTTTAAGCACGACCTCGACTCGACTGAGGTAAACCGGCCTCACATTAGAAACTTGGCAACCCCACTGAAGCTACCCCTACGAAACCGCGCAGCCTGTCAAAATACTCCGTTTAGTCTAGGGGCATTCGACGGCAAAGGAACAGGAGGGGGGGGAGAGTTGAGCTACAGCTCCATTTGACAATGTTTTTACGTTTTCGGTAGTTTCACTTGTTTAATAGCCTAGTTTTAGACCAGCGCGAAACCGTGCGCAGAAAAAAAAGTGTGCCTAAGCACTTAGGGCGCGAGACGTAACCCGTTCATGTTTAGCGGCATGTGGGGCGACAACGGCACTTGATGGGGCAACACGCGCGATGACCTCACGGCGGCGCTATCGGTCCATCGCGGTCCCATCGCGCCGCGCCGGGATGCCGATAGGCGGGCGGGCCGGAGCGGAGGGCGTCGCCATGCATTTTCGCACGTGGTGCCGGCGACACCGATCAGCGCGCACCGAGCGGCACCCTCATTGTTCAAACGGGTCCCGTTTTTATTCTTTTTACTCGGCCGATAAAGATCCTGTTGTTGCATTGACTTCGTATCAGACGACGCGCGCGCGCGGCCCAAAACAATGGGACCGACATAGTACTGGAAAGTTTGCCGACCACTGAATAGGGAAGGAAGGCTCCGTTGATCCGTCGCTGGGACATCTCACACGGTTTTGGTACTCGTCTTTCGATTTGTGCGTGAAAATTGCTTTTGAAAAGAAGCAAACATGACGGAAGGGGCAAACCAGTTGGGGATTTGAACCCCTAGAGTCACGTGGAGAGGCAGCTTGAAAATAGACTTTCGGACAATGTCCCTGGCAGGGCGGCCGTGCCGAGGGCAGTGCTGCTCTGCTGCTCCAGCCAACAGGCCAGCTGATATGATTGTGTTGTTGATGCTGGGCTGGTCTAGGACCGTCTAGGACGCTGGTCAGTCAAGCACGGCCTCGAATATAGACGCGAACTCACACAAGGACACAAATCTGTGTGCTCACAGCAGGGAAGGCGCGCCCAGCCGCGCCAAAACAAAAACAGTTCGTTTTAGACGAGTTGAAAACGAAGTGACCCGATGAGACCCCGGGTGCGGGGGAAGTCCAAGCAAACTGTGGCCTGTCGTCTGCCTTTGGTCGAGAGAGTCGTTTTTCGTCCTCTAAGGCGTTTCATGATTCGCAGGGAGCACCCCGACACTCTCCGCCATGTTCCGCCTGGCAGGGCGCGCCGCCGCGGGGCGCAGCGGGGCCGCCCAGCAGGCCCTGCAGGCCCTGAGCCCCGCCAGCCCGCTGGCCGCGACGCAGCGCTCGTCCTCCTCGGGCAGGCCGGTAAGCACAACAGCAGCAACTTGTCAACATTCATGTCGCTCTACGAGTGCACCAGTACACTGCCCCCCGACATCACAGGAGCTGGACGCGCTCCGCGGCAAGGTGATCGCCATCCGGCGCGAGGACCAGTCCGTGTGGGAGCGACGGGCACCCCTCGCCCCCGCCAACGTGCGCCGGCTCACGCGCCTCGGCGTCAAGGTGCTGCTGCAGCCCTCCAACCGCCGCGCCTACCCCATGCTGTCCTACCAGAACGCGGGCGCCATCATCCAGGAGGACATCTCCGAGGCGAGCGTCATCTTCGGCGTCAAGCAGGTGGGGACGAAGAGAACAGCCCCGGCGCCGCAGAGTGTCCGATATGGTCTCTAAACTGAATGATCTGTGACTGCAGGTACCCATCGACCAGCTGCTGCCCAACAAGACCTACTGCCTGTTCTCGCACACCATCAAGGCGCAGGAGTCCAACATGCCCCTGCTGGACGCCATGCTGGCTAAGGTAAAGGCCGATGGGCTGCCTACCTCCCGGGCGGCCGGCGGACCTCTCCGAACCGGCCTCGCGCCGCGGACTCAAAACTTGAGTCAGAACTGAGGCCAGTTCTAGGGTTGCAAACTACTCGCTTGAAACTCGAACTGAATGGTTGCAGAACATCCGCCTGATCGACTACGAGAAGCTGATGGACGAGCGCGGCCAGCGCGTGGTGGCGTTCGGCAAGTACGCCGGCGTGGCCGGCATGGTCAACATCCTCCACGGCCTGGGCCTGCGCCTCCTGGCCCTGGGCCACCACACGCCCTTCATGGTGAGCACGCCGCGTGCACCCAAGTGCACCGAGTATGCACATAACTGCAAGATTTGGGCTGTCCGGCAGCAATAATCATATGTGTAGAGTACAGAGAGCAACAGGCGCGCAGGCGAGCGAGGAGGTGGCCGCCGCTCGGCCGGCCCGGCCCGGCCGCACATACGCGTAATTGAAGTAAGACCGGCCGCCCCTCGCGCCCCTCGCGCCCCGCCGTAATCACCATGCCCGTCCGTCTCTCTCGCTCTCTCGCTCCCTCCCGATGCCGCGCCCTGCCGCGCCCTCTCTCCCTCGCACTATCCGCTCGTCCGCTGCTTTATCTCGCCCTCTTCCTCTCCGTCCTCCTCCCGGTTCTTTCTTCTCTTTTCCATAACCGGCGGGTGTGTGTGTGTGTGTGTGTGTGCGTTCCACGGTGCGCTCTGTGTGCCGTGTTTTATTCATGCCCAATCCTTTTTCTTTTCTTCCTCTTCTCCTCCTTCTTCTTCTCCCTCGCCTCGCCTTTCCGAATCGGTGGAATGAAGGATGACGGAGGACAGGGAACCACGGCGGCGGGAGCCTCTGGTGAGCGGAAAGCCGAAAGGAATCAGAAATACACGGACAATAATTTTATCTTGGAAGGGACACGGAAGCCATGACCGTCTGCAGCACTGGCCATACCCTACACGCTACTCGGCGCCCTGGCTCAAAAGTACAGAGAAAAGGGGGGGGGGAGCCGCTTTTTTTTCGCGCAACGATTTTTTGCCAAATTCTACGAGAGTAATCGTTGAAGCGCGTGCATTGGGACGGCGGGACGGCGCAAGCCACGCGCGCACGGGGTAATAATCATATGTAGAGAGTACATCGAGCAGCCGGGGAGCATGGCCGCGAGGAGGTGGTGCGTATGTGCGGGTCTCGGTACACATCGGAAAGCCGGCGCGCCCCTCCCCGCCGACCCCTCCCACCCCTCCCCTCAACCCGCCGCTTGCGCCGCTCCTGCCGTGCCTGCCGCGAAGCCGCGCCCTACCAGCCCGCCTCCCCCCCCCCCTCACGCCCTCCTCATTGTGTATGTGAGTTGAACAATTTGTGTGTACGTGTGTGAGTGTGTGTGTGTCGGCCGGGTCCGTACCGCACTGTACTGTATAGCGGTGCTGGTCGGGACGCCGTTCACGTATGGAGACAGTTTTACACAGCGAAGGTATTGAAGTTGAGCCTGCTTAGCTTGGTTTCACCAGCTGAAGTAAAATGGATAAATTTTGAAAGCGTCTTCGTAGACGTAAAGACACACGCGCGCAAGCTGGTGTATTTGCTGGTCGGAAAACACTCGTTTTCATCCTAGAGAATCTGATGAATATTTTTGGCAGTGTCGCTGTTGTACGCCGCCTCGAGTGCACGTGCTTCCACACTGCAGTCCCATTCGCTGCTCCTGCGCTCCTTGAGTGCCGACCACACATCACACGATAGGCGAGTGCAGGTCTGAGTACTTGCACGCGCAAACTCGCGCTTCGGTTTCCACAGCAATCCCAAACTTTGCTATTTCTGCCAGCCCCTTCCCGGAGGCCCAGAAGCCCGGAGGCTCGGGGCGGGGGGTCGTTTTACGTACGGCCCCTAGGGGTGGCGTCAAAGGGGTGGCGGAGGGGTGGCCCGCTCTATGCGAGGCTTGCGAGGCGACGACCCCCGAGCCCCAGCCCCAGCCCCAGCCGCCCCGGCCCACCCCAGCCACATGTGAGCGGTGCGGGGCGAGCGCATGGATGGGGCGTGGTGGCGTGGTGGTGCGCGCGCGCCATGCCCAGCCAGCCCAGCCAGCCCAGCGTGCCTCGCCCCGGCCTCGCCTCGCAGCGTGGAGCAGAGGGACGGCCACCTCCTCGGCCGGCTGCGGGCCCGCTCCCTCACCGGCAGTCTACATATGATTATTGCGTGCGCGGGGAAAAAATGGCGTCACGTATGGGGAGGGCACGCGTGCGTGCACGCATGTCCCCCTCTCCAGACTCTCCAGTACGCCCCCTACCCCTCACGCACACTCACTCACACTTGGACACTTTCACACACACATGAGCGCATCGGTATACATGTGTGATGAAGGTAGGGGGGACGCATGCGCGAGGCGTATGTGTACAGGCATGCCGTACACGACCCCTTGCACACATGAACACCCCCCCCCCCACACACACACACACATAGGCTCACGTTTAAGAACTTAGTAGTACTGACTGTTGATTGGCGTCTCGTTTTTGCCCCTTTTTCCAGCACATCGGCCCCGCCCACAACTACCGGAACTCGTCCATGGCCCGGCAGGCGATCCGGGACGCGGGCTACGAGATCTCCCTCGGGATGATGCCCAAGTCGGTGGGGCCACTCACCTTCGTTTTCACAGGGTGGGTCTCACTCCCAAATTAAATAATTAAAAAGAAAATTTGAGAATTAGTTGTTCCAAATTTGATGTGTGCTCTGCAGGTCCGGCAACGTCTCCAGCGGCGCGCAGGAAGTGTTCCAGGAGATGCCGCACGAGTTCGTGCCTCCGGAAATGCTTCAGAAGGTGGCGGAGCACGGAGGTAGGTCCCTGCAGGGAGCCTCCGCCTCTCCGGGGAGTGCATAAAGTAGTTGCAAATGGCACTCGCTTTGTGCAGTGACGACGAAGCTGTACGCGTGCGAGGTGAGGAGAAGGAACCACCTCGTGAGGAAGGACGGCGGCAAGTTCGACCCCGAGGACTACGACAGGTACCCGTCCAAGTACATTTCCACGTTCAGCAAGAAGGTGAGCCTGCGCCAGCCTGCGCGCGACTGTATGTAGATTTGACCCTTTCCTGTGTAACTGCTGCTGGTTCGGTGTTGGGCAGATCGCGCCGTACGCGTCCGTGATCGTGAACGGCATCTACTGGGCCGTGGACTCCCCCAAGCTGCTCACCATCCCGGACGCCAAGCAGCTGCTGCAGCCCGCGCACACGCCCTGGCTGCCCACGTCGCCGGGCACGCCCGCGCTGCCACACCGCATGCTGGGCATCTGCGACATCTCGGCCGACCCGGGCGGCTCCATCGAGTTCATGAACGAGTGCACCACCATCGACAACCCGTTCTGCCTGTACGACGCGGACCGCAACAAGGACACCGCCAGGTAGGCCAGGCCGGCCGCGCCGGGCACGCCGCACCAAACACAAAAACAGATTTCTTCATTTTGCGGTATCTCGGCGAAACGTTTCGCTTTGCAATAAAAGTTGCGAGGGGATTGAGGTCTGTTTCTGTTATCTGCCGGCAGCTTCAAGGGGCCCGGCGTGCTGGTGTGCTCCATCGATAACATGCCCACCCAGCTGCCCAGGGAGTCGACGGACTTCTTCGGCGACCTGCTGTACCCGTACGCGCTCAGCATCATCCAGTCCGACGCCACGGTGCCGCTCGAGAAGCAGCACTTCGCGCCATCCGTCCTGGGGGTGAGCCACCGTCACTGCCGAAATGAACGAGTCGGGCGATACCCCACGCGTGCGTCCAGCAGTCAAAGTCGCGGAGTATCGCCGGGCGCGTTGCTTTTCAGCGTAACCGCACCACTATAACTGCCCCATTTGACGCACAGCGCGCTTAGCTCGCACCGCTCACGCCATGACGACCCGTTGCAGGCCATCATCGCCAGCAATGGCAAGCTCACGCCCAACTTCGAGTACATCCAGGAGCTCCGGAACCAAACCACGTGAGTCGGTCCGCGCCCCGAGTTGGGTGACAGTTTCGGCGTCGCAGGGAGTGACAGAATGACAGGGTGTTTGTATCCGGCACAGGCGCAGTAAGCAGAAGCAGCTCTACAAGGAGGAGACGGCACAGAGGGCGCTGGTGCTCGGGGCAGGCTACGTCAGCGCACCCGTCATCGAGTACCTGAACCGCGACAAGAACGTGGCCGTCACAGTCGGTGAGGACGAGGATCGTGTTGGAGGAGATGGCGACACTTTCGGACTGTCACTGACCTTGATTTGCCATGCCCTGACAGCGTCCTCCCTCAAGGACGAGGCGGACAAGCTCGCTGCCAAGTACCCGGGCGTGAAGCCCGTCATCCTGGACGTGATGAGCCGGCCCGACAACCTGCGCGACCTCGTGGAGGAGGCCGACGTCGTGGTCTCGCTGCTGCCTTACACCCTGCACCACGTGGTGGCCGAGGCCTGCGTCGACACCAAGACCAACATGGTGACGGCCTCGTACTGCACGCCCGCCATGCAGGCCCTGCACGAACGGTGCGACAAACGGACCAGCGTTTACCGGTGAGGGTAGCTGACGCGGGAGTGACGTTCGTTGTTTTGTCTGCGCAGCGCCGTGGAGGCCGGCATCACCGTGGTGAACGAGGTCGGCCTGGACCCCGGCCTCGACCACCTCCTCGCCATGGACTGCTTCGACGAGGTGCACCAGGCCGGCGGCAAGGTCATGTCCTTCGTGTCCTACTGCGGCGGCCTCCCCGCGCCCGAGTGCTCCGACAACGCGCTGCGCTACAAGTTCTCCTGGTCGCCGCGCTCCGCCCTGCTCAACACGCTGTCCACGGCCAAGTACCTCAGGAACAACGAGGTGGTGGACATCCCCGCCGGCGGCGAGCTCATGCGCACCGTGCACGACCTGGACTTCCTGCCCGGCTTCGCCCTCGAGGGCTTCCCCAACAGGGACTCGCTGGTGTACTCGCAGCTGTACGGCATCGCCGGCGAGGCCAGCACCGTGCTCAGAGGCACGCTGCGCTACAGAGGTACGGCGCCACACGGGTGAAAGAATTCTCGCGAGCGAGGCGTGAGCTTCAATTTCTTGTTTTGCCGCTGCAGGCTTCACCGACACCATGCAGGGCCTGCAGATCCTGGGGCTGATCAATATGGACCCCCATCCCGCTCTGCATCCGAAGGGGCCTGAGATTACCTGGGTGAGCAATTGAAATTCAAGTCCTTTCACCGACGGTCACTCCCCCCTCCCTCCAATCAAGTTTCAATCGTTTCCGTTTTGGACCCGCAGCGGGCTTTCGTGTGCAACCTGCTGGGCATCGCGGACGTGGACATCTTCTACGAGAACCTCAAGAGCAAGTTGGCGGACCGGCTGGGCAGCGCCGAGCGGCTGGCGGCCATCGAGAGCCTCGGCCTGCTGTCCGACGACGCCATCCAGAAGATGGACACGCCGCTGGACACGCTGTCGCACTACCTGTCCAAGCGCCTGGTGCTCGGTGCGTGTCTCGTCGTTATCCTCTCTCCTCCGCGAGCGACTCCAAGTTTCGACTCAAATTTGCATTTTGCGCCTTTCAGAGCCCCACGAGCGCGACCTCGTGATCCTGCGCCACGACGTGGACATCCTGTGGCCGGACGGGCGCCGCGAGCTGCGCGGCATCAACCTGGTGGCGTACGGCGACGGCGACGCCAACGGCCACTCCGCCATGGCGCGCACCGTCGGCTTCCCCGCCGCCATCGCCGCCAAGATGGTCCTCGACGGTAAGACGAGCCGCGCCTGTGCGAGAGCCAAACCACAGCGGCGTCGTTCCCTTTCCTAAAAGCAACTCTGTTTGTTCCAGGGGAGATCCAGAAGCACGGCATGGTGCTGCCCTTCACGCGCGACATCTACCGGCCGATGCTGTCCAGACTCAAGTCCGAGGGCATCGAGCCGTTCGAACGATCCAAGTGGCTGTGAAGGGGCCCGAGTGTCAACGAGTTTTAAATTTGTGACGTGAACGCACTTGGCGGAATCGAATTTATGCCGAGATGATGGACAAAGAGTAAGCGTTACTCGAAGATAGAGGAAAGGGGAATGACAACTGTGACTGAGAAAAATGATGTAGCTCGATAGCGTCTGTGTTCGTCTCTAAGTCTACTGCCTTTACGTTGTGCTAGTGTTTAATTTTAAGTGTTATGTGTTACTGTATACCAGAATTATTTTATGTACGCGCCAATAAAGTCGTACCAACTCGTTTCATCTTTGTTTTACTTGACTGTGTGCGCCCACACCCAAGACAGACACGATGCCTTGCCTGTATCGGTACGTTTACGTTATCGTCACGTTGGCAGCGCCGGGCAGCGCCGTGTCGGTCTGAAGACCCGGTCCATCAACCTACCCCTGGGGGCCGCTAGGCCGCGGGGACACGTCACGGGCGGAACAAACCCACACAAAACCAGCAGGCTGATTCCCGTCAACGTCACTCTGTCTCTCTCGCACAGCGGGGGCCTACCCAGGAGTGCGAGAAAGAGAAACGAAACCACAGCCCGGAATCGCTGTGCAACTGCGGGTGTCGCAAACGGGGCTGGAGCCGCGACGGGGGTGGGCCGGGGTGGTCGGCCGTCAGTTGCTTTGGTCGCTGCGTGGGTTGAGGTCGCGAGACCACCTTGGACTCGCAGCAATCGCAGCGCGATGGCTCGGCAACTGGCCCTGCTCTGCCTGCTGGCGGCTGTGGTCGCGGCCGACGTGAAGCAGGCCGTTGTGGAGCCGGTGGACGCGAAGCAGGCCGTCGTGGAGCCGGTGGACGCGAAGCAGGCCGTCGTGGACGTGAAGCGGGCCCTGGAGGCGGCCCAGGCGCGCGTCCAGGACCAGGCTCCCGTCGTGCGGTACGACAACCACATCGTCGCCAAGGTGGTCCCCAGCACGCAGCAGCAGCTGGACGACCTGCACGCTTTCTTTAGAGTCAACGGCGAGGTCGGTACCTTCGGCCAAGCGGCGGAATCGTGCTGAATTTTCGGGGACGTCCGGATAAATGAAGGAACATATATTTCAGATCGACGTCTGGAAAGCGCCGACGAAGGTCGGCCGGGAGGTGCACTTCCTGGCCTCGCCCGACGAGTACCGCTGGGTCACCAGCGCCCTGGGTGAGAAGGGCCTCAAGCCCGAGGTGATCGTCAGCGACGTGCAGAGGTAACTTTGAACCCGGCTGAGGCAGCGTTGAGCAGCGGGGACCCGAAAACCGGAGCTTACCTGTCTTTGTCGGCAGAATCATCGACAACCAGACGGCTTCCATCACGCGGGCCGGAGACGTTTTCGGCTGGGAAAACTACCACCGACTCTCCTCGGTGAGTACAGGCTCCTACTAACCTTCCGGTAGCGAACCAAGATGGCGACGAACGTTGACTCGCTCGTCTGCGACTCGTCTAGATGTACAGCTGGATGCAGTCCCTCGTCTCCCACTTCCCCGGGGTGGCGAGCCTCGTCGACGGCGGCCTGTCGCACGAGGGCCGCCACATGCTCGGGGTGCGCGTCGCCCACGCCGAGGGGCTGCCCATCGTCTTCCTGGAGGCCGGTGAGTCGCGGGGGCCGCGCTGTTCCTCCCAGCCGGGTCCCTCTCGAAAAGTGGCCGAGTTTTAATTTCAATTTCGTCCAGGCATCCACGCCCGCGAGTGGATCGGCCCCGCCACGGCCACGTACATCCTTCACCAGCTGCTGATGAGCGCCGACCCGCGGGTGCAGCGCGTGGCGCGCAGCTTCGAGTGGCACGTGTTCCCCAGCGTCAACCCGGACGCCTACGAGTACTCCCACACCACGGTGAGCACCCGGCCTGGCACCCCTGGCACCCCTGGCACCCTCTGACCGCGGCCCGCTGCGGCGCTGTTCCAGGAACGACTGTGGCGCAAGTCCCGGAGGCGCTTCTCCTTCGGGTGCTTCGGCGCCGACCTCAACCGCAACTTCCCGTACAACTGGGGCAGTAAGTAGCTCCTTTCACCGCCATCGGACCGCCACGCCAGCCGTTCGCTCAACCGTCCGTGTTGCAGCCGCCGGGGTGTCGTGGAACGCGTGCTCGGACATCTTCCCGGGGAGCGGCGCCGCGTCCGAGGTGGAGACGCGCTACCGCATCAAGTACATGGAGCCCCTGCTGCCCCGCATGAAGGCCTTCATCGCCCTGCACAGCTACGGCCAGCTTCTCATATTCCCGTGGGGCGACACCACCTCCAAGGCCGCCAACTTCGACGCCCTGGTAAGGCCAGGTAAAGGCCGCCAGCCCGTTACGTGACGGTGACGGGTCGGCGGGCCGGAGCACGGGTAGGCAACCCAACGCGCGGGGGAAGTCCACGTCTAAGGGTATTTTTGCCCGCAGGCTGAAGTGGGGACCAAAGCAGCCGAAGCCTACAGCAGCCGCTACGGGACCGACGTGACGCTGGGCAACTTGGCCACCGTCCTGTGTACGTGAGCCGGAAGGCCGGAAGAACGTTTTCGTTTTCAGTCATTGCGACAACCTGTAATGTGACCGTGACGCGTCTCCCTGAAATTGCAGACCCGGCGTCGGGGAGCTCCATGGACTGGGCGTACAGCCAGGGAGTGCCCTTCGCCTTCACCTACGAGTTGCGCCCCGGGTGAGCTGAGGACTCAGAAGGACTCCGGCCGCGGACCCTTCAGAGTCACTGCGTCACTGTCTCGCTCCTTTGCTTCTGCTCGCAGCCACCAGTCTGTGGATCCACGCACTGGCGTGGGCTTCCTGCTGCCGGCCGACCTCATTCTCCCAGCCGCAGAGGAGACGACGGACAGCGTGGTCGCCATGCTCAACGCCATCCTGGACAAGTGGTGACAGCGCACTTCGCGCACTCCAACGACAGACGGCTCGCGGGCATTCCCCTCCAAACTTCCAAGTGCAGTGTAAAAATGAGTCAATGCCGAAACCCGGGATCGAACCGGGGACATTTAGATCTTCAGTCTAACGCTCTCCCAACTGAGCTATTTCGGCCGACGTTGGCATTGATAGGGTCAGGTAGAGTCCGGTCGGGATCGGCGCGAAGCGCGACGCGCAAAATGCTTCGAGTGCGAGAGAGATGAGTGCAAGCTCGGCAAGCGAGCGGTGGGAGCATTGACCTCCCCCTCCAAGCGGAGCGGGGCCGCGGAGCCTTCCCCCGCTCCAAGTAGTCGCGCACGGTCTGCCAGTTCCTCACCGAAGCATCGGTGGTTCAGTGGTAGAATGCTCGCCTGCCACGCGGGCGGCCCGGGTTCGATTCCCGGCCGATGCAATCTTTTTCCTGTAGTGATTTTATTTTACCACCAGTGATTGGAAGCAGGGGCATAGCGTCTTGTACACTGAATAATAAAAGAAAGTTTTCTCCTTGCTCTTTCCACAGCCTGCAGGTTTACTATATTTTCTCCTTGACCTTGATTCGAAAAATTAAATACAATTTTTTTGTTAGCCTCCTAGTGAGCTTGTGTGCACCGGAAAAAAAATTACTACCGACAATTCCGCATTTGACTTTGGATGCCGAAAGTCTAAGGGAGTAAAAATACATTCAGTTGTGTCCACCATATTTCTCATACTGCGCCAAATCGTAATGGCTTCTTAAAAATACTTTCGGGACAAGCATAAGCAGTAGTCTTCTGCTGCTCTGACATTCTGGCTTTGTTTCTTGAAAACATAAATTTTATGTATGGGGGAATCCAGTCGCTTGTTCTTTTCTCGACAATAGTAAAAGGCCCTTCCGCATCACCATGAGTTTGCAGGCCGATGTCGACTTTTTGCCGAACTAAACGCTGAAACTGGATCGCCGTAGGGTTGTTTGTTTGTGTTTGGACGCCAAAACAGACGCCCCCCTCCGCAGGTACGACCACACTATATCACCTAACTCCTTCTTATTAGTTTTTCTATATTTAAACTTCAATAACATTTAAAACTTTCGAGCAGAATGCAACCAACCAAAAAGAAACGATTTATGGAAGGTGCTGAAGACTGCAGAAAGGGGTCTTCATCGATGAGTGAGAAACAACGAAATGTCATGCTGGAGTTTTTGAGTGAGAATCCCAGTATGATTCGTGATAGATCTGTGGGTGGAACATCTAACAGGCCCAATAGAGATGAACTCTGGGAAAAGTTGGCAACTGTTTTAAATTCTTGTGGGTCAGGAGCACAGAAGGATGGAGCTGGATGGAGGAGAGTGAGTTTGCAGTCTCACATAAATTCTTAAGTTTCTTTGCTTTCCACTGATCTTGAACGTGTGTTTTACCTTTATAATTATGAAGTCATGGCAGGACCTAAAGCGTTATGAAAGCCTCAAAGCAAAAGAATCCATGGCCAGATTGGGAAAATCGTCAGAGTGTCAAGAATCACCCACAATATCACTGTCACCTCTTCAGGAGAAAATTGCAACTCTTTTGAACATATCCATAAAAGTGAGTATGAGGAGCCTGAACCTATCTCAGACATTTCTAACAGACATGCATCTCAACATAGGATGTAGGAATAGCGGTAGCAAAAAACTCACAAACAATACACATTTGAAGGTATTTATCACATTCTTTATACAAACTTTACAGCAAAATAGCATTTGTGAAACAATTCCAACTGGGGCCTTAAACATACACTCATTTTAAAATTTAAAATCAGCTGCAGTACTCTTTGAATCTCATCCCTATCACTGGTAATTAATTGCATGTTCAAGTCGACAATTCAGCAACCTTGTGATAAAACATTTTCTTATCAAAGTATAAAACAAGCAGCATTGACATAGAAAATGATTAAAATGAAGAAATTAAATAAAAATTGCAATTAAATGTTCCTTGAGATCTGGGGAATGTCCTCTTATTTTCTATACCTTTGATTTTTTTTCCTTAGTTGATTCCTAAAAGTGTCCTTTTCTTTGCAGGATGTGGCTGAATGTGTTGATTTAACAGGTTCAAATGCAACACAGGATACATTATCTGATCCAAACCAATGCACAACAACAGTGATTAAAAATAAACAACAACAACAACAAATTAAGCCAGAACTTATTCCTGGATCAACTCAAGGTGAGCAGTTAATAAGGATTTTTGTTCAGTGAAATTTCAGATGATGAAACTTATTTTTATCCCCCTTTAGGTGACAATGTAACTGAAGTGAACATAGCACAAGCTTTGAATAGCATTGCTGCTGCTTTGACTCAAAGAAACACATTAGAAGAAAGAAAGCTCAGAGTGTTTGAAAATTTACTAACAGTGTATGCAGCAAAAAATGGAGTTGCCCTGACTGAGGCACATAATCTGGACTGATGTCAAAATTGAAGTACTTCATAACTTTTTTTGAAGTTGGTATGTTTAAATTGAAAATAATCTCCCCAAAAATAAAAACAAAAAGAGCCATAACTTTACACAGTAATGCTTTCTTATTTCACTGAATAGATTTCCACATATTATCAACTAAAACAATTTGTGTTACCATAAACATATTAACACACTCAGTTGGTCCTAAATAAATAAAGTATGAAAGAAATATACATCAAAAATTACCAACAATGGAGGAACCGTCTGTAGTTCTTGGCATAACACATGATGAGGTCCAAGCTTAATGTATTGGATAGATAGATTCACGCAAACAGTATGAGAATCATTGATCACAAAACACAACCCATGTAATTTCACAAATCCGTGATGCCAAAACATGATGCATCTGCCATTCTGCTTGTTCGGTGCAGCAAAGGCTGCAAAAACAGGGAGTTCTGCTCACTGAAGTACAATTAACAGCCATTTGGCCCGAAACATCAAGGTGACATAGGCTAGCTAAACAACTGCTCTGTAGCTCTTTCAAGGTCCCAATTGAAAGAAGAAAGAGCAACTCGGGCATCATGACTTTCAATGCCCATATCAGCAAGACGTCTAATTTTTGAATCAAACTCTGGATTGCTATATGGTCCTGAAATCGAAGGCAAATTATGATGAGGCAGCCACAGACAAACAAAACAATTAAATTAGCAGTGAGAAATTTCCTATCGTTTCGTAAATTTATAACTTACCTCCAGCATATGCAGCAGTCCAGTGACGAGCTGTAAGACGGAACATGTCAGGTGCATCCTTATATTGCTTTGCAACTACAGCGTCTTGAGGGTCATCGGGCTCTGCAGCTGATAATAGTGCTTGAAGAGAAAGTAGAACAGTGCGAAGAGTCATAGCAGCAGCCCTGAAAGCAATGACAAATTAAAGAAAACAGACTTACAAAATATGCCATTTAAATTGAACGCTTATTACAGGTCATGAACAGGTAAATGTTTTCATTTCATTTATATTACGTGCTCACCATTGATCTTTAAGGATGTCTAAGCATATGGCACCAGTAACTGATGAAATATTTGGGTGCCATATTTTTGTAAGGAAGCGCACCTGAATAAAACAACAAACGACACTCCATTACATTATTTCCTTTTTTAATATATGAGTTTTAAATCCACTCTGCTGCTACACTGTATTTTTGAGACAAGAAGAGAATAACATGCCTTAGGAGGATTGAAGGGATATGTTTCTGGCACTTTTATTTCCAGAACAAAGTTACCACCTTCATATGGGGTATCAGGTGGACCTGCAATCTCACCCTTGAGCTCAGTATAGCTGTCACTTACTAGCTCTACTTTAATGGCACATTTGGCAACCTGGAAAGAAAAGGAAGGGACATTGCTTTTAAGCCATTCAATACGATTAGACCAACATTAAGGACCCAAGACCAACACAGTAGGTAAATGTATGAGGTTCATGCGAAATAACATAAATTATGTTTTATTTTTTGTAAAGAATATGGACTTGGGCAATCAGAAAATGAGGGGTGGGAGCAATGTCTAATGATGTCACAATGGTGGGTGTCTTATCAAAATGGCCTTTTGACCCTACATCAACACAACCTCCTCAGCATCTAGCAAATCTCTTGTTTTTGACTGAGAAGAACTGTAAGCCTGGGAACACACCCCACGTTATAGTAAATCCAGCAATAGTGCCACAATGGAGTCCAGAAATGGTAAGTGACGGTCATCAGACATATCAAATAGGGCGTTATAAAAAGGCACATGAGAACTACAGGCAAGAGGAGGAGCTAAAGCTAAAATTTTAAGATGTTTAAAAGTTAGCCACAGAATACAGCCTCCACAATTTAAGTCTACTTTGCCACACAAATTACTTTCAGTGAAATATATGCACGCATGGTAATAAATGAAACGGTAAGTTCAATGAAATAGAAAACCAAAGTAAATACTGTATGGATCAAACATCGGAAGAAGAATCTTAGTTTGCAATGACCTAGAAATGACACAAAAAGGTTTGATGTGCACAGATTGAAAAGTTACTATTTAGTGTCATAATAGTGTCATCTTGATCCACATTGTGCAGCATTTAAATGTCATAATTCAATGTACTAAATACAGCGAACTAGATATGGAACTATGACTATGTGAGAAGTAGAGTGAAAAAAAAAACCTTTGGAGAAAGAGGAGGAGAGTGACAACTCACTAAATTTTAAAGTGTTTTAACAACGGTTGATACACAATAGAAATTTGAAAGGTCATGGCAGAGGCACAATTTCAAGTTGACAATTGTAAATTCTTGGGGAGTTAACCCTACCATGGTGAAAAAAGAGAAAGCATGTGGGAAAGCTGTTACAGATTGCCTTGTAGAGCAGATATTCAAAATATGTAAGTCATGTTCTCACCTCTTCACTTTTTATAACCTCTTTAAATTCTCTCTTGATTCTTTGAGCAGCTATGTTTGCCATTTTGATTCGGACTTGTGACTCACGAAATGAACATGCCAATTGAAAATCACTACATGTGACAGAAAATTTCAGCTCGTAACCACAAGTCGTTACGCTTTTAATGGAAAGATAAGAAGAGTTTTGAAATCCTTTCAAATTGTGAACATGAAGTGGTAGCTCACTGTCTTGCAGTTTGTTGACTCTTAGTCTTCATGTTCTTCTCACAGCCTCTGACCATTTTATGAAAAATCTGTTGAGATTTTTAAAATATTAAGCTGCAAGGTACTCGAAATATTTTTTTATGCGAGAAAAACGATTTAAAACAAGAATAAAACAAGTAAAGATTTAATTTTGGTTCGAAAACAAAACGCTTCGATACCTCGATACAGTTGATAGGGTGAGAGGGGGGTGGGGGAAGCGGCGGGGCAGCGGAGGCGGATGTGACGTCAACATTGGTATTTCAGCACGCTTTCCGATTGGTTATTTGTGTTTTCAGTGATGCCCGTGTTATCGCAGCCAGTGCGTGCTAAGAGTTTGTTGCGAGCAAACCTCGAGAGACCCAGCGTAGTTCTCCGCAGCAGAATGCCCAACATTAAGGTCTTCAGCGGCACGTCTCATCCCGATCTTGCTCAGCGGATCGTGGATCGCCTGGGCATTGATCTTGGGAAAGTCGTCACGAAAAAGTTCAGCAACTTGGAAACATGGTGAGCATGCCAATCACTTATTTGGCGCTAACATGGAAGCTGTCGCCTCTCTGTCGCCGTACGCTCTCGCGTGTGGGCCCTGTCTTTTGTCGCATCGCGTCTGGCTCGCTTGACAATCTTAAACGGCCGTGCCATAACCTCCTGTCCCTGCCTGTGTCGCCGGACCGGGCCGTGTTTGTTTCACTCCGGCACGCACACTGCACACGCGCGTTCCTGGCGCGGCCGCTCGGGCGCGGGTCGCGCTCACCCCAAACATCTCGTGTCCGGCGTGCGAATCGCGGCTCGGCGCGGTTTGGCGTGCCATTCGGTGAGGCGCGGGCAGCGTGGCGCCGTGACGAACGGTGACAATGTGACACGGCAGCGCAACCCTTTAGTGCAGTGCGTCGCATCAGCCGCTGCACCTGTCATGTCCGTCACACTGCATTTTTGGCTTTGGCGCATGGCTGGTGCAATGGCAGTGTGGCGCCTGGCTGCCACTGCACTGCGCTGCAGGGCGCCAGGCCCAGCCAGGCCAGGCTGCACCAGGCTGCATTACGCTAGAGTGACGGCGCCAGGCACGGGCGGGCACGGGCACGCCGCTACACGCCGCGGCCTTGTACACGGCTATACCCGTGCGCCTCCAGCCCCAGGCCGCCCCAGGCCCCTAAGGTGTTTGCCTTGAAAGCCTTGACGCGCGGCACAGGCTGCGGCAGCTGGCGCTAGCTGGCGTGACCGCGAAGGCGTATCTGTTACCCAATGGCATGCGCTGTTTATGTCATGGTCCTGTTTCCTCTGTGCACAGTGTGGAGATTGGAGAGTCCGTCCGTGGGGAGGATGTGTACATTGTCCAGAGTGGCAGTGGGGAGGTGAATGACAACCTGATGGAGATGCTCATCATGATCAACGCCTGTAAAATTGCTTCAGCGTCGAGAGTTACTGCTGTTATTCCATGCTTCCCGTATGCACGACAGGACAAGAAGGACAAGGTATGTCGTCTTCACAGCAGTTTGCAACTCCAAAATGAGTTCTTTTGCATTCTTTTTCTTGTTTTAACTTGTTTATCCAAGTTAATGACTGCTGCTATGTAGATTAAGGTGTGCAGGGTTTCCAATGTTTTGGAATTAGAATTTCTATTGCATTTAAATTTGTAGCCCCAATTTTTGATTATTTGTTGCGTGCAAATTTTCTTCTGTAGACTTGTTTTTGGTAGTGCGAACTGTGTTTTGTTTCTTCCTGAAGTGTTGCTAGTTTTGTCTAACATTTCCCTGTCCCCCTATTAATGTCGTAATTTACCCTATCCAATGTGTTGGTATGGTAGGTATATTGTGGTGGTCGACAAGTGATGCAAAGCTATAGCCATTTCAGTACACCATTGGTCTCCCTCTTCAATTTTAACTTGTCATTTTTTCACTATCTTCCTTCAACTTTTTTTACTCATTTTTCTGATTGCCCCAACGTGTTCATTTATAGACTGCTGGTGACGGAAAACCTGTGGTCGAACCTGTCCTCAAGAATAACGATTGGAAGTTCAGGGTAAATGCTGCACGAAATGGAATTCAATTTAAGGGCTGCTTGGTTCAGTGAATTGTCAGTAGGATAAACTGTCTGTCTTGGGATCCATTTCCACATACTTGTGTCAAGTCAACTAATATTTGTTTGGCAGCCTTCATGCTTTGATTCGGGTTCAGTGCTGATAAACTGGTGACCCATTCATGTGTGGTGAGCTGTCTGATATGGGGTCAGGGTTCACTGGATTGCGAAAGGAACAGGGTGACAGTGGTGCTGTGGCTGGCACTGTTACATGGCTGTGGGGTCTTGTTTGTCTTTCTTTAACAAACAATATGTAGTCAGATTAGCTCTGTTCGTCTGGTTGGGTTGGAGTGTTGACCTCCTAGAGCATTTTCTTCTCATGACATCACTTGCTGTCTCATTTAATGGCTAGCCTTTGGTTATCAGATCTTTCTCTTTTGATGCAACATTTGATAAGTTTGTCTCTACCCATTCATCACCCATGAGCGCCTCATAAATATTTGACCCAGATGTGGGTAAGTGGAGACTAGAGGCTTTGAGGTGAGGTGGAGACTTTGACACCTCTAATGCATGACTGATTGTTCTCCTGTTGTGGGGAAGATTAACAATTTTAACAGTGTGCATGTGTTGTGGCAACTATTGCATGACAATGAGTTAACTTTTAGTATTTTTTGGTGGAACTATAAATTAACTTACAAATAACAGACAAATAACATACAAAAATAAAAACTTACAAAGAATTTTCAATATTTTTTTTTAAAATTAGGTTTACAATACGAGTGGTTATGATTTTGCTTTGCTTGTGAATCACCACAATGGTATGCTTCCAACCAAACATTTCAGTGTCAATTCTGAAGCTTTTTCATGGGACCTGTAAGGGAAGAAGAGTTTTCTAATGCTTGTAACTTTTTGTCAACTGTTGTATTTGTTCTGTTTTGCATGCACTGTTTAGTGTGTTGTGTCTTAGGATCTGTACATGAAATATGTCTGGGTGTGGTACAGGTGACCTCACCAAGTATATTTATGAATGGTCCAGTAGTTGGCTGTGAATTGTAACATCTGTGTTTGCTTGCTCTAGTTGTGTTATCTAGAGGAAGAAATTAAGTCATTTAATTAATGAAATTTGAAGCTTTATAAATTTAACCTAAATAGGGTTTGAATCTTCCAGAGCCGTGCCCCCATCTCAGCAAAGCTGGTCGCCAACATGTTGAGTGTTGCTGGTGCTGATCACATCATCACCATGGACCTACATGCTTCTCAAATTCAAGGATTTTTTGATATCCCGGTTGACAACTTGTATGCTGAACCAGCTGTTTTAAAATGGATCAAAGAGAACATTGCTGAATGGCGTAATTCCATTATTGTTTCACCTGATGCTGGTGGTGCCAAAAGGTAAAGTTTGTTGCATTTTGCTGAATATATGAACTTCAAGGAACTGTTCTCATTACAAATAACTTTACAGGGTAACTTCTATTGCTGACCGTCTTAATGTTGAATTTGCCTTGATCCACAAAGAGCGCAAGAAGGCCAATGAGGTAGCATCCATGGTTTTGGTCGGTGATGTCAAGGATCGTGTAGCCATTCTTGTTGATGATATGGCCGACACTTGTGGTACTATTTGCCATGCCGCAGAAAAGTAAGAATCATTTGATGTCTACAACTCTTCTGTTTGATTTTTTATGGGTTCAATGTCATGTTATTTTTTATCTTGTTTAAATTTAGGCTTTTGGAGGCTGGTGCTACTCGGGTGTATGCAATTTTGACACATGGTATCTTCTCTGGGCCTGCTATCTCGAGGATTAACAATGCCTGTTTTGAAGCTGTTGTGGTCACAAACACTATCCCTCAAGATGGACACATGAAAGACTGTCCCCGCATTCAGGTACAATCTTGCGCCAAATTAATTTGAAGTTCTTTTGTCCTGGAGAGTTTTTAATTGTACATATTTATTTATTGCAGTGCATTGATGTTTCGATGATGTTTGCTGAAGCCGTGAGGAGAACACACAATGGAGAAAGTGTGTCCTATCTTTTCTCCAATGTTCCATACTAAGTACCTGATGACCTGATGGACTCGTGCTGACATAAGTTCAGTTTTATCACACCTGACCACCCCTATGCACTGATATGATCACTCATTTTCTAATTTGGATTCACATTTGAAAGTTTGAGAGCGGGTGTTCTAACAAGAAGTAGTGGTTTGAACAGTTCAGATGAAAGGTTTTCAGGTGATTTTGACAGTTTTCCTTCAGAATGGCTGTCATTTATGATCATGGAAGAAATTTGTGCCATAAATTGAAGTTGAATATTCTGTGCCACCCTTACTTGAAGAGGCTTGTGGATGCTGTCACTGTTTGATCATGTGACTTAGATATTTGAAACTTCACTGCATCAGTTTTTATATTCTTTGCAGACAAATTTGTGTCTTTCCAAGGTGTTGTGTTGACATTCTGGGGGGATTCTAAATGTTCTGTCAGCATAGGGCCAAGTTATTCATATGTAGTTTATGCACTCCTCTTGTAGAGGGTATGTCATTGGCTGTGAGTTTGTGTGGAGCCATTATGGCTCATGTTACTACTTAGGATCGAATTTGGCTTGTATGTTAGTTGATGTGAAATTATGTTGGTTGATTATTTGTCTACAAATTTTGCAGCTTGAATGTTTTGGTGTGTAGAAATGTGGGTTTTGTTTGGCTTCGGCATGGATTGTGGCCTTCAGACTTGATTGTTGTGTTCAGATCATTAATGTTTTGAACCACTAAATGTAGGCTGCTTTCTATCTGGACATTTTGCAGTAATTAGTTATTAAATGTAATAACAGAAATTTCCACAAGCTTGTTTTACCTCTTCACTATTTTTTTTTCCAAAATCAAAAATGTCTGTTACTTCTAGTACTGATCAGTATTTGTTAGGAATTGAAAGCAAATGATGTAACAGCTATTACAAGCTGGACAAAATGTTTTTATCTGTTTTTATGTGTGACTGTCCTTTAAGGAACTTGAATCTTGTATCATTAATCTTGAGTAGGTAAGGTTCTACTTACCTTTCTAGAATCAGATATATATTTATATATATTGCAGCTTTACATTTCTGTTGAAAGTATCAGTGCATGACAAAATGAATATCTTCCACAATTGACTTATTTTTTGTTTTGTTAAATAACATTGTTATTGGTTGATGGCAAAACATGAAATAATTTTAGATCGTTGCATAATAAAATTTATGAGATTTTAGCTCTAATGTTCCAACTGTAGAATGTGTTCTAGTTTTTGTGAAAAACTTGACTTTGCTCTGAAGTTCATCATACAATATGTATAAACTAGCTACAATAAATGTGATGAAATTTTCATTTAGGGTCCTATTTTAGTACCTTCTCTTATACAACTGTTCCACACACAAATTTTGTAAGCCCTTTATATTTGAATAAAACTTTTATACAATAATCAACTCTTTGAAACTCCCTCTGGCATAGAAATGTCAAATACAATAGGAGGATTTGTGGGTAAATAATTTATATCACAAGTGGAAGCATTAATGAAAATTATTTTTCCATCAGAAGTAATTCCATATCCTGGAAACAAAGATGGTTTTATTTACCACAGGGAAATAATCACATCAGAGTGAACAGAATTTCAGGAACATACCTTCATGAATGTGACCAAAGACATGGTACTTTGGCTTCACTCGCTGCTGAACTGTAGTAAGCAGCTCAACACATCCAGCACGCACACCTGTACAGCACAAGTCCCCATGACCGATGGGAGGAGTGTGAGTTATGAGGACATCTGTATCTTCAGGAATACAGTCCCATTTAGAGAGACAAGGCTCCCCTCGAGGTATATTAAATGCCCAATTGCAGAACTCTGGCTGCCTTTAAATAAAGACATCACAATCAAATGGAATGTATTCTAACATATACATAGCATATTCATTACTGAGACCTAGGTACTAACCATGGAGTGCCATATATTTTTATTCCATTGACGACAATAGCTTCATCTTCAATGTACGTACAATTAGTCAGGTACTGTTTAGCATTAGGTGTCCGAACTGCTTCAGCTATTGCATCTCGAGCAAGGCCCAAGGTAGGAATACGTGATGCAGGGCTTTCACCCCCACCATGAGCCTTTGTGAAAGTCCCATCAAAGCTTAATTCATGATTTCCAGCAATGACAATCTTGTGTTTGTGAGGTAACCTGCCTGCAACAAAATGAAACAATCGAAATAAAATAAAATTTTAAATTAGGAAAGCAGACTTCTAGGATTTGATGCACCATACCTATCCACTCGTTGAATTCGACAACTTCTTCTAAGCTGCCACAGCGAGTGAAATCACCAGCATGAATAAATATATCTCCATACGGCACTTCAAATTTTATATGAGGAGTAAGTGAATGTGTGTCACTCATACACACTATCCGCACCTACAAACATACATTTCTTTAAAAAGAATGCAGGATAGGCATAGTTATACAAAGGTATAGACATTTCATCAAGTTCCAAATAATTATTGTAGTCATTGAATTTTGGGAAAAAATAAACCAAGTGGTATGCTCACTTTGTTGGGCGCAACCCCGGCTTTTGGCGGTTTTGCATGTATTTTTATAACTTTTTGGGACTTTGACACCTCGGCCCAAGCTTGGGTAGGATTACTAGTGAGGTTATGGATTTCTACTTTCATGTTCGTTGTTTTAAACCAATTTTTCCGATAAAAAGTACAACAAATCCCTCACATTTCATGTGTACGAAACATGACACTCGACATTTAGCAGAAGGAAAACACGATTGTGTGGGTAAAGGGTGAGAGGTAGGGAGTGGCGCGGGGAAAGGGGAGAGGAAAGCGAAAGGCAACGTATTTTTGACCTTCTAAGACCAACATGTTATTATTTTGTACGATTAGCACAGTTTGCAAAGTTCAACATGCTCTTTAAACACATTTTTGAATTTTAGTTTGAAAAGAGGAGGCGATGCTTGCTGCCATTTGAATTAATTTGGCTTTCTCTCTCTGCCAGGGTATGTTCAAGAAGCACACAAAAGCCGTCCAAGTGGCAACGGCCTCGCGGTTGGCAACATTGATAGCATCAGACAAAGAGTTCAAGAAGGGTAATGGCCGCTGACGCATTAGATAGATGATCAATTACAATGTATAACGGTCGGAAGAAAGTAAATGAAGATAAAACAAGGGGTAAGTGTATTCTAAATGCCTTGTGACATTATAGGGACGGTGTGCTGATGAATGTTTGCTGCCTCATGCACGGACGTCGCGTAGTGAATGCGTCTGAAGCTATCGGCTGCTAGCGTCTCCTCATGGCGTCTGCTATCCCAACTCGCGCCAAGACCAACTGTTGGATGCATCGGCCGAAATATTCTTGTTTTCGAGCGCTGAGGCTTTAAGATGATGTTCTAAGTAATGCTCGAAGCACTTTCTAGGTTTGGCGTGTGTCGATGCCTCTGAACAGGCGCGCCTTTGGGGTATTTCGCTGGGTAAACGGTCTGCCGTTCCTCTGTTTATGTGTGCCATAGAGCCTCTAGTTGCCAGCGAGTCATGGCCATCGTTCCTTGTAAACATGACGCTTCTTGCTCCTAAACAGTCGAAGCGAGCGAGTTTTACTGTTTAGTTGTGACGGTGCATATCTAATTTGCTGAGTGTTCAGTTTCTGACGACTTTTGATGGTACGAGACGAGTTGAAACTGCTTAGCGTCCTTATCCTCGGCGCAGACAATGGGCGCCTCCCTAGTTGTTTATGCGTTTGCGTGCCGACAGTGGCACTTCTTTTAATTTGTTGTTGTAGATGGTAATTTATATTGCCTTTTACTTCGTGCGTTTCCCTTTTCATTAGCCGCTATCGTGTTCCCTGTTTTGGCCTGATTGCGCAAGTTGTTTCCCTACGCGAAAGCTAAAGCCTACCTTAACATAAGGGCCGAGCGGCCGAGCCTGTATGATGCGGCGGCAGGCGGCGGGACCTGTTGGAATGTTGGGAGGTTATGTGAGCAGGAGTGTACGTGAAGAGTTGGCTCCTCAACTTCGAATATACTTGTGGATTCTGAAGTTGCCTTAAGCCTCTTTATTTGCCTGAGTTAGTGGCTCCGAGCAGCAATAGTAATGTTGGCATTTGTACTCTGCTCCATGTTCTTGTGCTGGGCACTGACTGATGGTGGGTGGTTTCTGCTCAAGTGTCTGCTACTCAACAAATGTGCACCAACATATAATTTTTTTAAAATTCCAATTTGGTATCGACAATAATCTTGTTTCGCCATGTCTCTTAAGAATCAAACTTTCTTCTAAAGGATCACATTTTTAAAGATTTATTTCTAAAACTGAATTTTAAGGAGTATAAAATAAAGTTGAACTCCATTATGAGAAATTTAATATGTTTTGGAGGACTCTAAGACTCTAGTGGCTTTTTAGTATATGGTATGATAGTATGACTGTGTTAAAATCTCATTAATATTTGCAGTTGTCAAAGGACGCTCTGAAAACTTGAAAATGGAGGCAATACCAGCGTTGCGTCCTCCATCGGGGCTGCTTGACATGCTAGCTGAGGTAGCATCTCAAACCCTGCACAGTGATCCCACTGTTAAGACCTCACCAGCAAAGAAAAAAGCCATAGAGAGGGCTGTTCGAGAACCGAGGGAAAAGCCAGAAGCTAAAGAAGCACCCCGCCGGAAAGTTGCAAAGGTAAGATAATCTTGATTCTCTTAAGAATTTCCTGTTTTTATTAATATTGTATACCCCTATAAGACCACTCATTAAAATCTAAGATTTTGCATTTATCATCTTATAATTCTATGTAATTTTTATACCTTTCTTTCAGTTGTCTGTGCTGCAAAAAGCAGAAATTGACACATTAACATCTGCAAAGCTGCGCTCTATGTCTGTGTCCCAGCAACTGAGACTTTGTTCAAGGCTTGATGGCGATGAAATGCGACGCACTTTCACCTATACCTGCCTTTTGGAACCAGAACTGTGCGGTCAAACCTTTTCAAGCTTTGGTAGTGAGGGCCGGGCCAGGCAAATGATGCGCACTCATCTTTTGGAACACCTGAAAAATCATGGCCCTGGTAAGCATTGAGTGTTGAGCCTCTTGAACTTGAGTGTTTGAATATTAATTCTTTTAAAATTAAAACTTTGGTTTGTCCATTCTGTTTTATCAAATTAGATGAACCTATTCATGTGAGCCGGAGGCGACGAACCACCAAAGTCCAAAACGTCAAAAAGAAACCCAACCCGAAAGTGAAGGTGGAACCTGTTAAAGCATCACGTCTCCGCTACTCAGAACTGTATGATGAAGTAAATAATCTACCTGTCAACAATAAGGAGAACAAAGTTGAAGGCCCAGGAGAGTGGCGAACTGGCAGCGAAAAATCCCAGCAGAAACTTCAAAGCCTAAACTTGGTCAAAATTGTTGATATTCCGACACCTGCTCAAGCCCAGCCAGCGCATCAAATTCAGACTATTTTACCAGTTCAGCAGGGATCAGTTGACTCAGATGAAGATACGGTGTCCTGTTGCAGCACTGGCAGTCGCTATGGGTATGTTGTTGCTGTTAAGGTTAAAAAAAATTATCTTATCTGGATTTGCTTTGATGAAAATATTATTTTACAGTGACCTTCCCCCTCCTGGAAGTCCATCTAGAGGAGAACGTCCGGCTGCTGTTGATGATGACTCTAAGGAACAAGAAGGAGATGGTGACAAAAGTATCTACACTGAACACAGCTATACATCCCGTGGTACAGAGGCCTCTAATGGTAGCATCATCAACAGTGTCTACAACAGTGATGTTTCCCGCATTTTCATCAAGACTGAGCCCGGCTTGGAGTCTCCTTTGGATTCACCAGATGTAAGCAGTTCCTCATATTGTGAAATGTGTCATGTCAATATGCAGTTTTGGGAATGGCAGAGCTAATAGAATATTTTTGACTTCAGGTATTTGTTGAAACCCTGAACAAGCGAATCTCATCAGTGGGCCGGGAAATAGATGTTCGGACTGAGCCTCCAGTCAAGACCATCAAATCAGGTATGTGTCATCAAAATAATTGAGGTCCTTTGCAAGTTCAATGAAATATTAGGCCTTCAAAAACAAGTATAGTTCATTGGAATATTGCTAAGGGTTTGTAAACTTTTTGCATAGCTGCCAATATTAAGGACATCCTAAAATCTATAATGTTAGAGCTAACAGGTGAGCCTGGTTAGATTTAAGTATTATGAGCATTCTTTGTTTAGGTGTATTAAGGTATCTGATGTGTGAAAACAATTATTGTAGTTTTTAATATCTTATCTTAGCCTGTCTAATTGGAAAAATCTTTGTCGCAGAAGATCTTCCTGTGTTGTGTGACAACCGCCGAGAACCAATCAACCATGAACTGAATGGAAGAGATACCAGAGAACTTACATGGGAAACAACTGCTGTGGAAAGAGACGAATTTCATCAGCATAAGAAGCCGAAGGGGAAAGCCAAATTCATTGGTCAATCGAAAGCTGAAAAGGAAATGGCAATACGCCTCATTAATGCCATCAAGACTAAGGGCAGTGCAGCTGGCCTTCAATCACTGGACACCCTGGAGTGCCGCATTTGCCGGCCTCCCCGATGCTTTACAGCTCCCACTACTCTGATGAGCCACTATCGCAGTCATGCTGGTATGGACTGATGCAACCTTTTTCTTAAAGTTGACATTTTTTTTCCCTAGATCTTTTTTTAAATTTTATTTTTATTGCAGGTATCAAGCCATATGAGTGCCGCATTTGCAGAGCTGCATTTACCCGTCAACATTCTTTGAATTACCACATGCTCATTCATTCAAATCAGACCCGCTTTACTTGTCATGACTGCGGACGCAAATTTAGGCACCCTTCTCATTTCAAGGAGCACCGGCGTCGGCACACTGGGGAATCCCCTTTTGAATGTTCTGACTGCTTGCTAAGGTATATCAACTTAGTAATGAAGGATTGTATTTTTTATATGGGAGAGTACCGACCATATCTCCCTTATTAATTGGTATGTTTCAGATATTCAATTGTTTTCTTTTTTGTTTCCAGGTTTAAAACTCGTAACACCTACAAGCGCCATTTGAAAACAAGACATGGCAAAGTTCTGACTACATCTGGAGGATTAATCATTCTCTCAGAAGAGGAATTTAAGCGTGTTCGCACCATGCCACGTTCTCCTCTCTCTCATCAATCCTCTCGCAGTGGAAGTTTGCCTGGCAAAGTGGCCGCTGATGCTGAATCAGATGAAGAAGAGGAAGAAGAAGATGACTATTCATCAAGTGGGGCTGAGGACTTGTCTGACAAGTTGGAAACACGAATGTCTATTGGGCATAACGAAGTAGTTGAAGAAATTGAATTGGTTAGTTAGATGATCTATATGCCTATTTAAGCTATATAAACTCAAAGCCAGCTAATTGCTTTTTTTTTTTCAGACCCTTGAAAATTGTGTTCAAGAAGATGTATCAGAATCTGTTGTCACTGAAGAGACTAACGACAGTGCTCTGAATTTGAATGACATTGTGAGAGAGGCAATTCGCCAGAGTGACATTTCTTTTGCTGACAATGAAAGAAAAGCAAACTCTGATAGCAGTGGATCTCCAGCTCCTGTAGACTGGAGCACTGAAGAAGTTTCACAACTAGAAGAGACAAATGAAGGTTCTTATGCAACTGCTGTTGTTCAAATCGCCAACACTAAACCTGCTTCCAAAGTTCAAGTGTTGCCTGTAGGTGTTAAGCGTAATGCTTCACCCGCTGAAGCTTTGCGGAATGTTCCAACAAAGGCACAGAAGAAAAGTCAAGAATCTGTTGCGGGCAATACGGACAATTTGGCAACAATTTTGTCTGGTCAGACCAGTAATGCTGCTATTCCACAATCTTTAGCTCTGCTACAGTCTCGTTATCTAGTAGGCAAGAAGCCAGGCATCAGTGTCATTGGCTCCGACTCCCAGCAGGCAACAGTGTTGCTCCTGGCCAATCAGAACATGATGCAGCATCAGTCAAAAAATGACCCTATCAGTCTCATGCTTGCATGAAAAATTCAAGTGTTTGCTTCACCAAGTGCTTAGTCCAACTGCCACTTGTGTGTCCATTTTGGAGCTGTATTTAAGATGGATGGGGACGTGTGATGTATATTGTGGGCTAGTTAGCACAAGTCTGACAAATTGTGGATTTTGGATGTGATGCCTTTCTCAAATTGAGATAATCAATTGCTAAGACTGCTCAGTCACCAGAAGACTGCTTTTTCATGCCTTTGGGCCCCAATGATGCTGCCAGCTAGATTATAGCAGTTTTCATGGACCAATCAATATTCTTGTATTGGAGCTTCACTATAGACCTTTTAAATTTTAGGCTGATACTCACCTGTATCCCTTTTTTGTTTCTTTTTGTTCAAAATATAGTGTTTTGTACACTAATGAAGTAGGGCTTAATGCTACTTCTAATTATAATATTTTTATTTTCTGTCAGCATTATAACATGTTCTGTAATACTATATGGGGAGTCAGTAAGTCCACATTGTTGTTTTGTTCTCTAACCAATAACAGTTCATTCACGTGTTAACATTGTATAAGGCCTTATTTTGTATAGTTGTCAGTTAAAGTTTGTCAATGCTTTTGTACAAAGGCTCCTATCTCAACACCATCTCAATATAGAATTTATAAGTACTGAGTTAGTATCAAAGTGTCACCAAAGCATTGTTGGTGTGAAGTCTTCCATGGTGACTGTTTTTGCGATGTTCTTACTGCATTTCTTTACATATCCCTTCCCCTCCCCCCATTTTTTCGTTTTTGTTAAGAAGCATCCACAAGAGACTTAAGAGTTGCTTTGTAGACACCTAGTGAGGATGAAAATGACCTGTGTGTATGGACTGTTTTTCTAACTTAAAGCTGCATTGTATTGTTTTTGTTTGTCAATTACTTTTCATTGCATGCATGCTTTGTGCATTAACATGAAAATTTTGTGATTGAAAGGACTCAGAAAGGAATGAATTTTGAATGAATATTTTTATTAGTGCCCATTTTGTTTTCTTGTGAAAAGATAATTGAGGAATAACTATTTTGTATACAATGTTTAAACGTATGATAAGTAGGCATTGTTAAACACATTTCATATATCACTTAGAAAATGACATACAACAACTTGTGCTCACATATAGCTCAAAATTTGTGTACTATCTTGAAATGGAGACTCAAGATCCTGTAATCCTGTACAACTTGCTGTGCATTTCCAGGTCATGTTCATTACCTTCTTATTTTCTTGTTTAGCAGTGCTGTGGGTTTCAAGTAACTTATAGATTTATTGAAAACTACCGACAATGGACCACACTAAAATGATTCAGACACAGTCTTGTTTGATACACCACTGTCTTGAACTTGACAACCAATGTGAACTCTCTGATTGTGAGCTATTTATTTTGATACGATTGAGCACAAATCTGTTTGTGATAAAGGTGCCTTTGTAATTTCGGTCTTTTTATACTGATTTTTCAGGATTTGTGCCCACAGAGATTGTTAGATGTGCCAGTTTGAATATTAACTTCTGGTCCTTGAGAGCAATAATTTTTTCAACGAGTCTAATAATTGTAGTTTTTGTCACTTCTTGTTCTCTCAACCTATTTCAAAGAGCCGTGTTCTAATGTGAGTATGTTAAATGTGACTTAATATATGATTGGTATCAGCTTTGATGTAGATGCTAGTTTGTAATATGCACTTTTTGTACCTTCAAAATCTTTATTGCCAATTTATATGGTACCATTGGTTTGTTGACAATTGGCTATGCAATAGAGTATTCCACTTAAAACTTGAGTAATGTTTGCAAATTGGGGAAGGGCATCATTCTGTGATTGTTTATTAGAGTATGAGTGGTTTGTCCAAAACAAATGTCCTGCAGTAGTGTCAGATCCAAGTTGGTAAGAACAGTATACATAGCTTGTACATTTTCTGCCAAGTTACTAATTATGGCAATCTAGTTTTTACAGTTGTGTGTATTCTGTCAGTCACTTGCTTGGGTTTGCAATTTCGCTTTAGATTGATGTTGATATGACATGTTAGGAAATGGTTTTCAAGCAACGCTCTTATCAATGCAATCTTCACCGAAATTTATCATAGCAAGTTACACTTGCGAGAGATGCAAGACTGAACTGATTGGATTAGATTAGATGTCAGAGTGCCTAATGACATGTAACATCTAAGTAATGGGCTAATGTTTAAGAGACAGCCCCCTTGCTGTATCAGTACCTTCATTTTTGTTAATTTGCACTGTAACTTCTTATAGTCCTAATTATTTGTTACTAAGTTAAGAAGTGTCTGCAGACATTTCTAATATATTAAGTGTAATGGCACTCCTTTATTTAAACAGCTTCTTAGGTTTGTTTCAACTTTACAGCAGCAAAGTTAGCTCAAGGCTTGGATTTCATTAAAATTTATTTCTTTGTTTGGGTTATTTTCGTTTGGGTCTCTGTGTGTGTGTGGGTTTTGTTTTTCACTGGTATTTGCCAAAATTCTGTGACCTTCAGATACTTTTTATACCAAGCGTACCTGACCAAATAGTGTGAATACATAATTAGCTCTTGGCTGAATGAAACTTCAATTCTAAACAGGACTCAAGCTATTTGCTAAAGTGATAACAAAATTTTGCTCATGTATGTTAAATTTGTCAGTTAGTGAAGTAGTAAGGAGAAGCACATGCCTTCATGTGGATATTCCAAGTGATTATGAATGAAAATCTTATGTTGTAGTTTTCCTAGCTTCTTAACAACAGACACAGTATTTATAATCAACTAAACCCCTTGATGGGCTGTAGTACATTTTACACTCTGAACTGCTGAAAGGTTGGAAACAAATTTCTGTGATCAAGTATATAAGGTTTTTATTTTTTCCTTTTTCTTTATAAGGTCAAATCTTAAGGTCAGCATGCCCAGCGAAGTACTGCTTAATTGATGCAAACCTTTCCTTTTGTATTCTTTCGACTGCCATTGGTCTGCAAGGTTTGCATTAATCAGTCTTCTATTTTTGGTGTTCCAGCCAAGTTCACAAGACAGTCACCTTATTGGTGTCACACAACTGACATGCTCAGGGCTTTGCTAAATCCTCAGCATGACAGTTGTGTGACTTACATTAAGAATTACTTTAAATGTGTCTTTGCCTATTTATGCAGAACATTCTTGTGTAATATTTATGGCAATGCCACCCTTCGGGGCTGTGTATAAAATTTATTACTAACTAAACTTTGGTAGTTCCTTCTAATGTTAAATTGTTACTCTCATTCATGGGGATGCTTAAAAATACTCTTAGGATTATTGAGGTGCTATGTTCAAGTAATCTTTCTGCAATGAAGAATTCAATGGTTTCTAAGAATGTTGGCTTTAATCTTTTTGTTTCATTTAAACGAACATTATTTTCTTTTGGCACCTGGGAGTGTGAGATGTGTGCATCACAATGTAAATGCTTTCTTTTATTTACCCTTATTAACATTACCCATGTTAATTTCTTTTTGAACACTTCCTTCTTTTTCTGTTTCCCCAACTTCTTGTTCAGCTACTTGCTGGTTAGATTTGCTGAATTACATTTAATTGTGAATATTTACTTATGTATATACTACTTGTCTATTGCTGAGATGTAAGTGATGTCTTCCACTTGCTGAATCTTACTACCTTGCCATATCTGTTTGGTTGCTTTGGTATTGATGTTTTCATGTTGTTTCATTTTTTGATTTTCTGCTCGTTCAGTATGTTTTCTTCAATCATTATCCCCTAATGGTGGGTAGGTTTTCTTGTTGCTTTATTTATAATCTTAAATAAGAGGATTGTTGCTTACAGCTATTATAGGCTGTCTTCTAATTCCTCTACTGCTTACTCAACACTTGGGCTGAGCATGGAAGGTCATGACATTCCTTTAATCATTTAAAATTTCCATTTATAATTGTAATTGTAGTCTTAAGTTACTGAATTAATGCTGCAACTTGTAGCTCTTTGATCTGGAGGATGGTTTGACATGGAGAAAATACTTGCAAACATTAGATTAGTTGATCACATACAGAGCATGTCCAATACGCAGTAAGTTGTAGCCATCTCTTTCCTCTAATTGTAAAAAAAAAATTGTTTACTTTTTATCCTGTTTGCATGTTTACTGGAGAACCAGAGATGGCCTTATGCTTTCTGTAGGCCTCTGTCCAATAATTTATGTGATACATCATGTCTGAAATTCTGGGTTCAACATTCAATTTAAACAGTCTGACACACTCTGAAGTAACTCCAAATTTATTATTATTATTCAACTTAGTAATTTCTACTCAAAATGGGATGTCATGTTTATGCTGTGGTGGGGTCCGACTCGTGTAACATAAATCAAAAATAGTTTTGGCAATACTCTAAATGTTTCTTATTATTTTAGAATTACTTATTTTGATATTGTGCCATGTACAGCCTTACCTCAGTTGTTGTCTTCATTTGAGAATGTCCCTCCTTAACTTACAAACTAAACTGACCTGTTGATTTGCAAGTATATTTTTTCATACCTAATCTATTGCGGATTGCCAGTGGACGATTGTGTATAATTTATTACCTTATTACCTTATTAAGTTGAACCCATACCCATAGTACTACAGTATTTCCACTATTGTATTTTTTATTTTTTGTAACATGAAAACTAAGAATAAATTTGTACTTCTTTACAATGATACAAACTGCGTTTCACTTTTGGCCCTACTTTGACCATCTTGCAGTCCTAATGAGTCCTAAGAGAAATTCACCACGGACAGGGTAGGCCACTCGAAAAGAGCGGCCCCACGATCGGGCCATTCAATACAACCCCGGTCCGGCGAGTGTGTCGAAGGGCAGCGGTGGGGCAGAGGGCACTGTCAAAGGGCCTCACAGGGTGCGCGGCGTGCGCAGCGTGGGAGAAAGGGGAGGGGGGCCGGAGGGCGACGACCGCCCTCTTCCATTCGACCCTCTGCCTCGACCTCTTGCACCTCTACCGAGACCACGGTCTCTCTCCCCCCCCCCTCTCTCGCACCCTCTCTTGCCTATGGTTTGGACGCAACAAGAATCAAATATGAAGCTAAAACGTGTTACAGACGAAGGAAAGGCAGTCAATAAAGGCCGCACGCTTTCTCCTGATTGCTAAACCTATACTACAAGAGCTATGATACTTAGAGCAATAAGCGTCAAACCTGGACTCAGTTTGGAAGCGAAAGCTCTTATTTGCCACGCAAACTCTATTCGAACGTCACCAGAAAAACACGTCACAGCCAAGAAATGTTCGTCTCAGTGAGCGCATTCCTGCCGGCTGGGGCCTCGCGGGCTCGCCATCGACACGAGCATGACCACCTTCGTCTGGACTGGGAGCGGTCGCGGTCATAGCCCGCGGCATCGCACTTGGGAAACACCCCCCTCCTCCCCGGGCCCCTGGCGGGTCAACTCGTTACCGAGTCGCGTCGGCCTTGGCTTGCCCTGGCTTGCCCTGCCTGTCCCAAATTTACAAACTTGACGAGGAAATTACTTGGGAGCGTGCAGCGCGCGGGCGGCGCGTGGCGTTGCCGCGTGGCGACTAGACTAGACCGTCGGAGCAGTCGGGTCGGAGCCAGTCCAGAGTCCGGATGGCCCTTTCTGAGGGTTATTCAAATCCAAGGGTAATCTTTCTTTTGCGACTCCAGTCCAGTCTCCAGTCGCAGTTACGTCGGGGCGGTTGGGCGGAGTGGGTAGGCAGCAAGGCTCAATGCCCGCGCGCTCGCTGCTCGCTCCAGCACTCTGCCTCCAGCCAGGCTCCAGACTGTTTCGTCCCTTGTTCTCGGGGACAGGTTCTCCCCCGCCGAGATAAAGTTCTCTCCCTGTAAGGACGGCCATGTCCCGTTTCGCAGTGCAGGCGGGCATGTGTCGGGCCCGAAATGGCGTACGATCATGTGTGGTCTAGCCTTTAATGGTAATGGTAGGCTCCAGCCAGGCGGTTTGGGTAGGCAGCACGCTCGGCTGCCGTGCGCTCGCTCCAAAATGCTGCCTACCTCCCAGGCTGTCGAAGTGCCGCCTCAACTGCGGCCTTCACGGCGGATGGAGAGCAAATCCTTACCTTTCGCTGCGAAGGAAATTGGTCTTTCCGTCCGGGCCCGTCCCGCCCCGCCCCGCCCGCTCCGCCCCGGCCGACGCCGCGCTTTGGCATTTCAGCGGGCTGGAAGGGATTGGACTGGGGAGGGCCCGGCCCGGCCCCGCCCGGCCCCGCCCGGCCTCGCCTGCTTATGCCGCTTACGCGGAAATGGTATCCGGGGCGCTTCTGCTTCTGCCGGCTTCTGCCCTGGAGCGCGGACTGGCGGACTGGCGGACTGCGCGGACTCGCGGGTACTACAAACCACCCGCTTTTCCTTTCCCAGGTTAAATGGGAAAGGCCGGAGCAACCAACAGGAAAGCAGCGCTGCATTTCCCGCTCCGAGCAGCGCAGACCGATTTCAAGGGAGAGGTCTACTCTCTCGCACACTCGGGCCGCTCCGCATGGGTGCGAGAGAGACAGCGCGAGTCGCGACAAAGAGCAGCGACGCCCCATTCACTGCGAGGGCTCTCCATTCACGGCGCGAAGGGGCGGCGGGGCGGGTGCTCTGTCTCTCTCGCACCCGTACGGAACGCCGGGCCGCCCCTAGAGTGCGACAGAGACAGAGCGACGACGGCGCTTTGCGGAATGAGCCGGCAGGTGGCCTGCAGGACGGCACGCTCCCGTGGCGGCATGCGAGGGGATGTACACTGTGCACACTGTCCACACTGCTGCAGACCACACGACACACGTGCACGCCACTGTGCGGCCGAGCTGCACGCTGACGCTGTGCATGCACACCTGTTGAGGAGACACGGTTTCTGGCAGTGTGCGTGGCGCGGCGTGCCCGGCGTGCCGCCCTGGGAAAGGCCACCCCTCGGGGTAGGGCAGTGCGGGTGGGGTAGGCCGCGCCTAAGTAGCCACCCCCGCGAGGGTGGGGTGGAGCGTTCCAGCCGAGGCTGGGCCGAGCGCCGAGCGCGCCCCGCGTCGCCACCACCCTACCTCGGCGCCTCGGCCACCTCGGCCACCTCGGCCACCTCGGCGAGCGGGCGCGACACGGCGCCTCCCCCACGCGCCGCCTCGGGGGCCTCGGGGGCACGCCCCCCTCTCCTCCCTCTCCCCCCTCTCCCCGCACCATGGCAAAGCGCGTGGCCGGGCCGTGGCGAGCCGCGCAGGCCCAGCACCAGACTGCAAACACATGAGCGACAGGGAGGGGGGCCCGCTGCCGCCGCTGCCCGTTATCGATTTTCCAACATGGCGGCCGAATGAAACCATATGGACGGCAGCGTCGTGCCCCAGCCCAGCCAGCCCAGCCAGCCCAGCGTGGGGCACGGCTGCCTGAGACCGCGCCGCCCCCGCGCCCGCGACGCACCGCGCACCGCGGCGAGCACCGCGCGCTCCGCTAGGCCCTCGCGGCCCCAACCGCGTCCCGAGCGTCCGCGTCGACCGCCCGTCAGGGCCCACCCCGCACCATGTCGGCCCCCGGGGCCCACCGGGGTGGCCCCAGGGCTGGCTTGAAGCTCAGGGCCCCCCGGCTGCTGCCCTGGCTGGTCGTCGTGGTCCTCATCGGCTGCGCGGCCAGCCCCGCAGCTGCCGACGCCGAGGTCTTCCCAGGTAGGCAACCCGCCGTGACGCGCAGCGCGCAGCGGCTCCAGCTTCACCTTCGCGGACCGCCAGGCCGCCAGTGGAGGGGACGCGGGGCACGGCGTCCTGGAGGCGCAGGAGGCGTTGCAAGCCCGCCAGAAGGAAGCGCCGCGACCCGCAAACAAGAAAAACAGCGCGCTTTGAGGTTATGGGACCCCCAGACTCGGAATGGCTGCGGGCGCCGCGGCGAGCCGCTGGCTTCTGCAGACGTTGCTTTCGAGGCCCGGTCGTCATCGTCACCCTTGCCAAGGTGCTGGTGCACGGCCGGCAGCCTGCTAGGCCCGGGTGCCCCGCGCTCTGGAAGTAAACAAGGGCCGTCTGGAGGCGCGCACACTGGCAGGCACTGACAGGGACCTTGCGGGGGCGGCGTCGACGCCGAACAGCCCCACGGCGGCCACGGGGAGGCCTCCAGGAACACGGGGGCACCCTCCCGGACCACGGGTACCTCCAGGCCGGCGTTCACGTGCCCCGCACCGCCGCCATATGGTGGCCGCGCTAGCCGCGCTGACCCCGGGGATGGGGGTGGGGGTGGCCGCCGACGTCACCGACGTCACAGTCTCCCCATGCCGCTTGCACGCGCGGGGTGCGTCGTGCAGGCCCCGCAGGCCCCGCAGGCCCTCGTTTTGACAGCGAGGTTCGCGGAAAATTTATTTCTCCCCTCTCTTTCTCTCTGCCTTGGCGTGGAATGGTGCTTCGCTGCGCTAGACCTCCCCCTCTCTCTCTTTCTCTCCCACTCTCCGTCACGACCAATCCGATCGGATCGGCGAGTGGCAAAGAAAAGCAAACGCAAAACCGCTCGTCGCTCCGCGTCCAATTAGCGAGCCGTGGATTAATTCGGCCGCCGCGTCGCCGCGTCCCGAATGCATCGCTCCGTCTCTCTCGCACCCACGGGGCGTCCCGCGCCGTGCCGCGCCGTGCCGTGGGGGTGCGAGAGAGACGGAGCCACTATGCACAGCCAGGGGGACCGAGGCACCGCCGGTAATAAGTTTTCCGGAGTCATTGGCAAACGCCCCCTCGCTCCACCCGAGGCTCCACCTCCCCCTTCCCTTCCCGGACGTCTCACCTCCACGGTCGGACGTGTCAGCGCAGCGGTTTAGCGCGGCCTGGGTCTGGCGCGGCCCCGCCGGGGGAATCGCAGAGTCAGCATTTCGGAGAATAACAGAAGAACGAGAACGAGTCTGTCCGTGTGTCTGTGCGGACTGCGGGTGAATGGGTGTTGGCGTGTGTGTTTGTGTTTGCGGGAGAGAGTCCATTGTGATTGAAATAGCCCCCAACCCCTGCACCCCCCTGCACCCCAACCTGTGCAAAATGAAAAGGCCCCGCAAGGCGCCGTGTGGGTTCGTGATCGATTCCCATCCGACAGGTCTGCAATTTTCATCGCCTTGTCGGAGCGGAATGTCTTTGCAGGTGCGATGGTCGGTGCTGCGCTGCGGCGGAACGGTGTCTTCCATTTTTTCTTCCTCTCCCAGGGCGCTCTTCTCCTCCAAGATTGCTTTGAAGGGGCTCGGGGGCACGCGAGTCCGGCCGGCAGAACGCGTCGCTCCGTCTCCCTCGCACCCCCACGGAACGTACGGAACGTACGGAACGCCGCACGCGTGCGAGAGAGACGGAGCGACACTGCGGACGTTGTTGACTCAGCCGAAGAACGCCAACAACGTCATGATCGTCACGATGCACGGCAAGGCGGCGTTACAGCGTGGTGGTAGCCCGGTGGCAGCGAGCCGACCGATGTGAAGAACTGCCTGCATCTCCGTGAGTGCCGAACGCGCGTTCGACACCGCCTGCCCCCGCGGACGTTCCATGATTGCTCGTCCTTCCGCGTCGCTCCTCTCCTCACCTGCGGCTCGGCGGCGTTGGCGCGTCGAGTTTGACGGTTCGGCAGGGCCAGTGGGGCCGGCCGGGCAGGTTCGGTCGAAAGTCGGAGCAAGTTAGTCTCGGACGGACACAGGCAAGGCGAGGCGAACGACGTGGACGGCGTGGACGACGTGCTCTACGCGGCGTTCATTTATCTCCGGGCCGCTTCCGTCGCGCGGTCTGCGCCGAAGAAGAAGAAGAAGAAGGAGAAGGAGAAGCGATACAGCCGCGGAAGACGGCGCGGACGGCGCGGACGGCGCGCGCCTCGGAGCGGAACGACGGGAGCAAGAAGACGACGAGAACAAGGAGAAGGACAGGATAGCGACTTGCGTCAGAACGAGGCAGAGGCAGACCTTTCCCGCCATATGGTTCCCCGGGAATGCCCGAGCCTTCGCGACTCCCTTCGCGCAACCTTTCCCCGAGTTTGACAGTTTTCTGAAAAGTGTTCGGTCAGGGTTTTTATCGTTGCGCCGTCGCGGAGTGGCGGAGAGCGAAGCTCGAGCCGCACAAGCACAACGTAAGCGCGGTTTGATGCGGTCGTCGAGCTGCGTAACCCCGACCGCCTACAGACAGACGGACGGACAGACAGGCAGACAGACAGATCGTCTCCAGCACCGTAAACGCGTGCCTCCGCAATCAACCGAACGAGGTCCTAATCGAGGGGGACTTGTTGTTCAGCGCGGACTCTTGTTTGTCTTGGTTCCCTGCTTCCCTTTGCGGGTAACGAATCGCGACCCCTCCCCTCCGGACACGCGTGCAGTGGTCGTCGTTTTCCTCTTTCTACCTCCCGGGATGGAATGGAATGGAACCCAGCTTCGGCCTTCGGCCACCTTCGACCACTTTCGAGTCGCCCTGCCTGCCTGCCTGCCTGCCCCCTGGCGCTTAGTGCTTCCACGAGGCGCCCTACCCATGGACTGCCGTTCCCTGGTAGTCGTCTGCTTTCCCCTCTCCCTCTCACAAAAGCCTTTCGAAGCCGACCGCGTTTTTCCTGGTTCCCTCTCACACCCTCATCTCCTCTTCTTATCCCTTTCTTCTCTCCTCGCAGTTGGTCGAAATATTTAGCCGGGCCGCAGTCGCGGGCGTGCAGCCCGCAAGCAGAAGCGCGGACCGAGGCCGAGAGTTGTTTCCGTCGCTCTGTCTCTCTCGCACCTACGCGGGACTACGCGGGACCCGTGGTGCGGAGGCGGCTCGGCGGCCGCGGCCCAGACTTATGGGCTTGGTTCCCTGCTTCCCTTTGCGGGTAACGAATCGCGACCCCTCCGAGTCCTCCCCTCCGGACACGCGTGCAGTGGTCGTCGTTTTCCTCTTTCTACCTCGCGGGATGGAATGGAATGGAACCCAGCTTCGGCCTTCGGCCACCTTCGACCACTTTCGAGTCGCCGTGCCTGCCTGCCTGCCTGCCTGCCCCTGGCGCTTAGTGCTTCCACGAGGCGCCCTCTACCCATGGACTGCCGTTCCCTAGTTGTCGTCTCTTTCTCCCTCTCCCCTCTGACAAAAGCCTTTCGAAGCGCAACCGCGTTTTTCCTGGTTCCCTCTCACCCCCTCATCTCTCTCTTCTTATTCCCTTTCTTCTTCTCCTCGCAGTTGTCGAAATATTTAGCCGGGCCGCAGTCGCGGGCGTGCAGCCCGCAAGCAGAAGCGCGGACCGAGGCCGAGAGTTGTTTCCGTCGCTCTGTCTCTCTCGCACCTACGCGGGACTACGCGGGACGCCCCGTGAGTGCGAGAGAGACAGGCTCGGCGGGCCGCGGCCCCAAAGAGACTAATGGCGTTAAAAACAGAAAAGAGAGTTTCGGGCGGCGGCCGCCAGATGGCGCGCCAGGGATTTGCAGTGCCGCGCCGCGCCGCGCCGGATTACGGCAGGAAAGGGGTCACTGAAAAAGGAGGCGGCTCGAGAGAGAGAAAGAGATGCACGGTGAGAAAACGCGGGAGGGGGAGAGAAAGGTGAACGCGGCCCGCCTGCTTTGCGGAATCTACGACGAACGATGGCCAGTCAGTGGGCACTGTATTTTGGGCGGTTGCTTCCACGAATCTCTCTCACTCTCTGAATGGGGCCAGCTTCCGATTCCAGGAACGGAGGCCCGCGTATCCGGAAATAAAACCGCGCCGTCGCTCTGTCTCTCTCGCACCCGCGGGATGGGCCGGCGCGGAAGGGAGAGACCCACTTTTCAGATCCACTCTGCAGCGCCAGCGCCGCGCCGTCATTCCGTCGCAACCTCTCAATTTTCCTTGTTTCAGAATAAAAGAAGCCGTTCTCTCTGGCCATCTCTCTCGCTCTAGGCATGTCCGATTTCGCGTGCTTTTACCCACTTTTACCGTCCCCGCCAGGAGGGGCTGCTGAGTGGGTGGGGTGGCCAGCGGCAGCCAGCCCCACGTACTTGAAGCGGCTGGTTTATCATCGGCGCGGTCAGCCGGTACATGTGGACGCGCGCACGCACTCACACACACTAACACAAGGCGCGGGACAGGCATCGCCACCGTGCATGTAGGCCCGCGTAGGCCCGCCCGCACCTGTTCGTCAGGGATAAGCACAGGTGTGCCCGGCGGGCATGTGTGAGTGTCACTGCCACGTGTGTGTGTGTGTGTGTGTGTGTGTGTGTGTGTGTGTTATGTGTAGTGTGCACTCACTCCATCTCTCGCGGGTGTGTGATGGTGTGTGAGTGAATGTCACTGACTGTGTGTGTGTGCCTCGTACTCGTCTGCCATTGTAGTTGCCCGACAGCCGCCCTCTTCAACACAGTGAGCTCATTGTTCGGGACTGACTGCGCGCCGCATGTGTTCGTCGTGGTCGCTGTTCTGTCATGAACGGCCATCCGCGTTCGATGAGTTGACGATGGGGCGAGAGCGAGCGACAGAGCGAGAGAGAGAGAGAGAGAGAGAGAAGTTGGCAAAGGGTGTCGTCGGATGCGTGGCTCGCAGCGCGCCGCAGGGGGAGGTCTCCTGGCTTCCCTGCGGTGCCGAGCCAAGGAGTGCGGGGTAAATATTTGTGCACGGGGTCCCGATGGAGCTCGGGGGCCCGCCCAGCCCAGCCCAGCCCAGGGCCGCGCGATGCCAACCTGCGCCACCAAAAGGCAAGGCCGAGGTTGGCGACCCAGCGTAACAGTTTTTCTTCTCGTGGG